TGATCACGCTGTGAAATAGTCAGTAACTTGAGACAGAGAAACCGGTACGCACCTTCGATAAAAAATCTAGAAATGACAGTCAGTCCGTTCGATCCAAGACGGAAGGAAAACGTACCTTGAATGATCACGCTGTGAAATAGTCAGTAACTTGAGAAAGAGAAACCGGTACGCACCTTCGGTAAAAATTCTGGAAATGACAGTCAGTCCGTTCGATCCAAGACGGAAGGAAAACGTACCTTAAACGATCATGCTGTAAAATGATCAGTAACTTGAAATAGAGAAACGGGGTACGCACCTTCGATGATAGTTCTGAAAATGACAGTCAGTCCGTTCTATCCAAGACGGAAGGAAAACGTACCCGGTATGATCACGCTGTGAAGGAGTCAGTGACTTGAGACAAAGAAATCGGTACGCACCTTTTATGACAATTCTGAAAATGAAAGTCATTCCGTTCAATCCAAGCCGAAAGGAACACGTACCTTGAGTGACCACGCTGTGAAAGAGTCAGTAACTTGAGACAGAGAAACCGGTACGCACCTTCGATGACAATTCTGAAATTGACAGTCAGCGAGCCTATCCAAAGCAAGCGAGCACGTACCTTCCGCGTCCTGTGAAAGACAGTCAGCATGTTCGAGAATAAGACTGCGACACACATGATATGAGACGACAGATGTCACCGAAGATGATCTGAGGAGGGTTCAGCAAGCCGTATAACCTTTCGCGTGTCGTCAAACTTACATTCTTGTGGAGACGACTGACGGTGACAACGGCCTAAAAACGGTCTCCGCATAATCTAAGCGTACCTCGGATGGATGGGGCCCACAAACATAATCTAGACTTGTCCAAGTGCCAATGACTAAAGCTGGGCAAAGGTTGCGAAGGCTTATACTTTGACAAGACAGCGAAGTCGGTGTCCATTGCGTGGATTGTTGCCGTCGTGAACGCGTCTTGCTCTTGTCACGTTATGTTGAGGCGATGTCGTGGGTATCTTGTCTTCGGGGAACAGGTCGCGGTTGCTGGTGGAGGTTGGAGAGAAAGTAGCTGATGCTTTCCCAACGCGCTGCACGCAGATCTTTATACCACCAGCGGCAGAAGACCGCATCTCTGTGTGTGAATGCAGACTATCCGCTTGACAGGCGGGATGGTATGCACCTTGGTATCCCGCAAGGATGTGAAGCTTGTGAAGGGCAAGCATACCACGGAGAGCACAGCTATTCCAAAAGAGGCAGTCAACCGTCCAAATGCGGCGAAAGGGGGTGGTCGCGTCTCCGCGGAAGCCCCTAATCATCCAAAATAGGCAGGCAGGCACCCAAATGTGTTTCAATGTTGGATTGCCTCCATCCAGGATTCCAGGAGCGGGGTCAACGATCGACGCGGTGAACGTGGACGCGATGATACACGTCCCCAACCGGCACCCGGAGCGTCCTCAATAGTTCATCTGTACTACTCTCGTTGTTATCCCAAATTCGAACATACGGCTATCGTGGATGTTACGGTCAACAGCAAAGTACGAGGAGGACGGCGTACGATATACAATTCTATCAATACGGTCGTGAACCATGGGAGGCACTGTACAGAGTGTTACAGTGACTGCTCATGCGATCATCGATGGGTCCCCATTCAACATTCCGCCGTCTCTTGCTGATTCGCTATGCTTTAGCATGCAAGGATGTGCTGATCGCGATGCAGACCTTTTCATCATAATCAAGCCCGCAAAGGCATTTATGCCATCCATCGCGGCGACGAGCGCACGCTCTTCTCGTGCACCTCCGGGACAACATGCCTAAGTTTCCTCAGCCGTCTTTCCCCAAGACTTATCCCAAGACTTATGTGCGTCGTGAGTGTGAGGGTTCGAAAGGTAGGCTCGCTCGACAGGCATCGCGATGTGAGCTCGGCGAGACAAAGGTCGAACCACTGGAAATCATAACTCGGGCTCTGGATCTCCATGGACGTCAAGTTCGGGAGGATACAGCTCGGCGGTCGCATCCCAGGCTGTTCTTCCGTACGTATCGCGTTGAAGATAGACGAGACGAAATGGTTGTCGACTGCGCGTATATGGCGGATAAAGGGGCGTTTAGACAGGATGTCCCGCAAGCTCGGGTCACCCTTCCACAACTCCCAAAATTCGAGTGCTACGACGGACGTCCCCATACTAGATAGGAAGTCGAGGTAGATGCTTACGCGTTTCTCTTTGCGAAACCCTGAGAAGCTCGCGACCGTTGGGTAGGCAAACGGAATCGGACAACCTTCCCTGAGTTTGCCTCCTTTGAGAGTGATCCTGAAGTGCTCGATGCCGACAGAAAACGCGTCAAGCTGTTGCTTCGCTCGCACGAGCTCACAGAGTGCGCGGGCGTCGGGAAATTCTTCGTCTTGGTGGTCGTGGATGAAATGCACGGTGAAATTCGCGAGCGAACCCGGTATGTGTATTTTCGGAAGGAAAAGTAGGCATGTTGGGATTTCTGCGCGCAGAAAGAGCTTGCGCAACGAAGATAGATGCACGTCTGGCAGGGACACGGAGTGCACCGGCCGGCGTGGATCTTGAAGAAAACAGTCGTCCACATGCAAGGTTTCCAACTTGGGAAGGGTTGAAAGCATCTGCATCGTAGCAGCCAGCGTGCTCCGTGTGGCGCGACAGGCGCCAGGGCCGATTGACAGATGGCGCAGAGAGGGAGAGGACATTGCGCTGGACTTCATGAAGCCGGGGATCAGATATGGGACTCCAAGGTCTCGGAGAGCGGGGGCGCGCAGCTGGCAGAGCCGGGTGATGATCTGATCCTGGGGCACAGCACGGTCGTCGACGTGATGCGCGGACCAATCGATCTTAAGGGTGCGCAGAGCGGTCGTGTGCTCCTGCAGCGCATCCAACGCGGTTTCCAGTGCGGCAAGGACGTCCACCGAATACACCCACCCAAAGTGGATATCGAACCGTTCGATGCGCGAAGCGTGGTTGAGGCACAAATACCTAAAGGCCGCGACCGACTCGAGAGAGGGTTCTTCACCTTGACGGTTGTACCACATGATGCGAAGGTAACCGGCATTGAAACGGTCGCCGAGGGCAACCGCGAGAGTCGGTCCTTCTTCGAGGTCTAACCATCGCCAAAGTGCCTGGGCGACGTTCAGGGCTACGTAGTGCCAGGAGCGGCATACCAGCATTACAGACGGAGGCCAATCGGTGATACCACGTGGTAAACCGTTATATGGGTTGGTCTGCCTGAACGCGAAGACCTCTGCCAAGAGCTCCGGAGGGAGGCGATTGATGGGTTGCACCGCGTTGTGCTCGACACGCATACGACGTATTTTTTCTTCTCGTATCCACCGCGATTCATGGCTTAGTTCCAGGAGACGAGCTCTTCGCTCCGGATCGTACGAGAGAGCACCTATGAGGTCCTGGTTGTCGTCTGATTCCGAGGACGTTGCCATTTGCTCCTTATCGACTCGCACGCTGGCATCATCCACAAAGGGGGGACAGAGTCAGGTATGAGCTGAGCATACGTGCAAAAGCTCACCGTTTCGGCATTTCCGCGTATTTCCACTTTGACCCGCGTCGTTGCGCGGTGCCAGTAAGTAGGGTCGTAAATGAGGTTGAATTTCTCAGTGGTTTCTCAGTGGTCGCGGCGACAAAACGTGTACGGGCTAGCCCCTATCAGCGAAGCCAACACGACGTCGAGGCGCGCTCTTCGCCAAATACTCCTCGCACTTGAATCTTCACTCGATTCACCTACTCGTCTCTCCCTCCAACCCAGACCCATGTCTCCACCACTTCATCCACAATTCCAGAACGACGTCAAGAAGGCATGCCCGACGGAGCAGGTCACCGGGTCGCATGCCGTATCACGATCGGTATGCGTTGGCCGAAAATGAGCTCCTACTTCTATGCATCCTCGGTTTAACAAGCTCGCGGTCACGGTCCCGCTCGTAGTCCCCACTCATCATGGTGCTCTTGAAACATCTTCAACTTAATCAGCGATACTTTGCTCTCGTAACCGTTTTCCAAAGCGCTGCGCTGTAGGTAGACCTACTCGGTTGTTCTTCGCAGCTATCGTGCTCACTGTAACTCAAAGACTGTGGCCAGCAGGAAGCAACGTATGAGAGCGAAGAACCGGGCGAAAAAGATATCATCGGATGGAGCTTGAATGCGACCGCGTCAAGCAGGAAGAGTTTGGGTGTGGTTCAAGATTGTGAGCATCGTGTCCAGAGCCGTTCCCAGTTTGCTGCCACTGACGAGTAGAGAGATCAGAGACCTGATCGTGTTCCGACGATGTCGACGAGTGGAATGACGAGAACACCTTCACGCCGGCCAGCTACCCAGGACGCAAAAGATTCCCTGCGCCCTTTCGTTACCCCCATTTCACCTTGCCCGCCTCCTTTATGTATCAGAGCTAGGACACCGTCGGCCTGGAGCTCATCGACCTATACCCTAGGCATGGATCTTGAAGGGATGATGCACCGCGACGTGAACAGGCTCACGAAACAGACGGAGGCGGCAATATGCCACGGAGAGCGGGAAGACCCTGCTGAAAAACCATCGAAGAGGCCCGACGCGCACCGAAACTGCATCCTAATAGGATCGCGACGTCGTGAAACGCTGCTCGTCGGACGCAATTCCTCCCTTGCTCTGCACGCGACGACGACAGCCCGATCGATCCCGGGGGGCCCCCGAAAGAACACGAGCGGTCGTGCAGGCGGGGTCGAGAAAGGGCGGATGTTTCCCGCCGTCGTCGATCCGCGACGAAGCGCGAAAACACGTTCAAGAAAGGTAACACACGTCTGTGCATCACGCTGGCGGTTATCTTTTCGGCCTGACTTTCCTCTCGCCCCCTCGCTAGATGTCGACCGTTCGAGCGCATGTATATCTCGTGAGACCCTTGTCGATGTTCGAGATCTGTGGGTGGGTGGTCCGTTCCGCTTCGCGTTCCATCGTTTGCTCGTCGTGCGTCCCAGCGACGACGTGCACGCCCAGGCTCGACGGGCACGCGAGCAGTCGGTCTTAAGCTCCAAGCGCCTCCGAGTTACGGGTGCAGACTACGATATTTTATGATAATGCTGTAACACGTTACAACGGCGATGTAGCCTTACTGGTATGCATACTTTACACAAGAAAGTGACGTATTGACTAAGAACGAATGAGTGGGGTGAGGATGGGTCGGTGATATGTACGAGTCAAAGCGCGATAGAGGGGCGGTGTGTTGATTGCGGACGGACGGGAACGATGACGATGATGATGATGATGACGATGATGCAGATGATAATGTGTGTAGATGCGACGGAGGTTTCGGAGGTGAGCTGTGGGTCCGGTCCTCGGGAGCGAGGGCGTCGGTGACTCGGTATGGGGCATTTCCGGATGAGGAGCAGGTGGCGCGTCCCCGCGGCGAGTCAGAGCTAGGCCACGCGTACGTCCCAAAGTAGGCGTCGGGCGGTGGGGGGTCCAGTGGTCAGCGATCGGGAAAACAGAACTACCCAGGTCTCTCTCTTTTTTTTCTCTTGTGATCTTAATCTGGCGGGAGACGTCGGCAGCAGCATCCGAGCCGCGATAGCAGGCGCATGATCCTGGGGCCAGCGCGACGATGCGCCGGAGTCGGGTCCTGGACTTGGAGGCGCCGCATCTCGTGCGATGTGTCGGTGGTGAAGTCAAGGAAGCTGAAGCTCGCCGCGCTGTCTTTGGTCGACCAGGCCGAGGGCTGTCTCATCGTGAGTTGCTGCTCGTCAGGTGCGAATGAGAGGGGAAACAGTACGTTGGACTCGCTGCGGCCATCGTCGTCGTCTTTGATGTAATCGATGGAGTACTGCGTGTGGAATTCAGTGGACCGTGCTTTCAGCAGCTTGAGTCTGAGCCGGGGTACGTACCATAACGTACTCCTCCTCCGCGACCGGGGCATAGGGCCTGTACCGATTGAGCCATGCTGGGTGTTTCCGGGCCAGCGTTGCCTCCTTATCGCGGGCGACGATGAGAGTGAAGGATTTGAAGGGAGTGTCGGGGGAGGCTGCCATGTCTCAGGCCTGCCTGTCGGGAGAGAGAGATGAAAAAACGGGGCAACTGCGCCAACCTTTTATACGAGCGCCTCGGGGCCGTGCCAGCAGCGCGGTGGAGTCCGCGAGGGAAGAGGGCGGCATCGCCGCCTCGTGCAGAGAGGACATGACTCTGGGTGTGAGCAGCTCGGATGGAAGAACCACGTCGTAGGTTTCGTCACCTCGCGTGATCGGTCCGGCGTCAAGGAGTAAATTGCCTTGCCTGATGCAGCAGCCTGGACAATGTTGGCAGCATGGAAACGCATAGCGTAAGTTGTGAACCGCGACATGCAATGTTGGACATCAGCGCAGCGCAACAACAACGTGGCATTTGTGTATGCAGAGGTGATTTGCATGTGCTTCCGTACCTCTATGCAATTGAGGTATTCCAGGCTCGGAATATGAAAAGCCGCCACCGACGGTAGCTATGCAGCTTTCCGTGATATTATGTAGGTCCCGAAGTAGATCCCTGAGAAGGTTAATCTCTGCAAGTACGGTTGTCCGGACGCGGAGTTCGTGCACAGCTGCGCTTCGGTCTCAGGATGACCGATCCACGATAGATCCCGCGCGATTGCTCCGACAGATCGCGGACAAGCCCGTGGGTGGCTCGCATATCATCTTGAACTGTCGCTTCGACATCGGCGGCGACGACGACGACGAGGAACGAACCGACGACGAACCATGGCTCGAAACAAAAAGGCCCAAGCGCATCCACGCCACAGCGCTCAAGCATGGCCAAACAAAGCTCGAGGGGCCAATCAAGCGGGGGTGGCATCATTCATCTCCAGTCCCTTTGCTTCCCCCGCTGCCCACCGCCCCTCTCGTGTACAATTAATCGCGCCCAACAGCCACGCTATTATCCCCTGCATAACGTTCCAATAATGGTCGATCTCATCTCGCAAGAAGGCCCCATCCTTGTCGCCCCGCGCCCCATGCGCATAGCGTCGGGACCTGCCCCTTTCAGCCCGAACGCGCCCTTCCACCCCCGCCCGGCGCCCATCCGGCTCGTGCCGGTCCCGCAGGCCGTCGACGCGTTCGACCGCATGTCGCTAGGCGACGACCTGCCCGCGAGCCCCGCACGAAGCCCGGCGCTCTCGGAGTCGTCGTCCCCGTCGCCCATGCGCTCGGCCTCGCGGTGCGTGCTCCGTTAGCCATCCGTCGACCGTGCCCTATCGCTGATCAGCGACTCGTACGTAGCCCGAGCATGGAAGCGATCGAGGAGTTCCTGTCGATCCTGAAGCCCGCCCCCGCGCTGCAATCCGCGTTCTCGGCGCCGTTCCTGCCGCGGCGCAGCGCCACCGTTGCGGGCGAGCGCAGCCCGATCGGCGGTCGGTTCAGCCCCATGCGCGTGTCCCATTCCATCGTAGAAGAGGACGCCCAACTTACCGGTTCTGACAAGGAAAACGTCCTCGTCGCGAGGACCTGGGGCCCTTACGGTCCTCTCGGTGCGCAAAAATCCTCCTCCGCATCCACTGTAGATCTGTTGCTGAACACGCCTTCCAGGCTCGCCGGTTTCGCGCACCCACACCAGGAACCCGTTCTTCCGCCACCCTTCGTACGAAGTGGCCGCGCCCCAGGCCGCACCCGACATGACCTTTGGGCACATCGAGGACATTTCCTCCTCGCCGTCCCTCCGCGTGCCCACCCCTCCCATGCCGCAAGCCTCCCCTGCGTCCGTGCCGCTTCCTTCGCCCACCCCGGACGAGATGCCTTTGTAAGGTCCTGAACTCGAATAACCACCACGCTCGTTACCCCCCTCTCTGTCTTCGCTCTACTCACCTGTTCGCTTTGGGCTCACGACTAACTTCTTCGCTTCGTGAATTTCGTTGTAGACCTTGCTTTGTATCTAGCCCTATCTATAGGCCCCCCTTCGGTCTTCTGTACCTTATCCGAGTTTGGAACATCACCCCCCTACTGTATATTGTCCCTATCCTAAAGTAAACCCTACATCCAATGTTATCAATCACACCCGTCGGCGCGTTCACGGAGACCAGGGGCAAGTCGCTTGGCCTCCGACGCCGGCGGTGAAGAAGGTGAAATCGCCGTTCTCATCAACGTAGAAGCAGTCCTCCAGACGGACTCCGACCTGCGGTCCTTGTCAAGCTTCTGGACCCCACGATAGTGTCGTCGAAAGCGAACGTACCTTGCCCTCGACGTAGATCCCGGGTTCGTTCGAGAACGTGTGGCCGATTTGGATCACCTGCGGGAACCGGTCAGCGCGGTCTCTAGCGTATCGACCGTCGGCCGGCACGCACGTCGGAGCTTCCGCCGCGGAGGTAGGGTTGTTCGTGGACCTCGAGTCCGATACCTGGCGCGAGGCGTGTTCAGTCTAACGGCACTGCTAGTCAGACGTGCGGGAGAGCACGCACCGTGTCCGAGCCGATGCGTGAAGTACCTCCCGTACCCGCCGTCCTCGATGACGGCCCGAGCGGCTTCGTCGACCTCCCGAGTGATGGTCCCGTTCTTGAACGTCGACGCCTTCGTCTGCGCCGCGTGCACGAGCTTCCATAGCGCGAGTTGCTCCTCGGACAGGACCGTGTCTTTCAGCGCGAAGGTCTGGACGTATGGGAACGCGGATCAGCCTCGTGAGATTATCGGGAGTAGCGGTGGGATGGGGGGGGGGGGGTACCGGTACCCTCGTCACGTCGCTGAAGTACGAGTGTAACCCTCCGCCGCAGTCGAAGAGGGCAAAGTCGTTCTTGCCCAGCACGCGGTCGGTGCCGCTTCCGTGCGGGAGCGCGGCGTTTTCTGGCACCAACACATCTGGGTGAGCCGGTGCGCACGCGAGTACGTGTTTTTTTTTTTCGACCGTACGTACCTCCAAAGAGCACGAGAGAGTCTAGGTCATGGAGGCCCGCCGCGCCGAGAGCTGCCCGGATCATGTCCCGCGCCTCCGACTCGCGGATGTCGATGTACATCTTATCGCGCACCTCGCGGATAGCGAGCACCGTGACCTGAGCGAGGGAACAGCCGTCAACAAACGTCGTCCCCCTTATGATGCGCGCACGCGGACACAAAAGAAGCCCGCCGCACCTCGTTGACGCACTTCAGGATCTCCAGCTCGGCGGGAGACTTCCGCTCGCGCAGGTACCGGATCTCCAAGGGCGCGGATTCGACGGCGACCGAGTCCGGGACGGCGCCGCGCAGGCCGTCGACGATGAAGTGCCGGATGGACGCGTCGACGAAGATCTTCCCGCTGCCGCCCCCGATCGCGGCGACGGCGATCGCGTACGGGTCCGCCTCCTCCGGCCACGCGGCGTACTCCACGCCGTCCGCCGCGGGCACCTCGAGCAGCTTCGCGCGCGTCTCTTCGAAGTAAGGGGTGAGGATCGTGATCTTGGGCTGGACGTCGCCGCCGCCGCCGAAAGCGTCGAACGCGGGGTGGACGATGAGCAGCAGCGGGCGCTCGGAGAGGTGCCAGCTCGAGCCGGAGATGTTGCCGAAGAACTGGGCGTTCGCGCCGGGCTCGGCGATGTAGGCGGACGCGTTGAGCGACGCGAGCGTCTGCGCGAGCGCGGTCTGGCGCGCGTGGAACTCGTCGGCGGAGATGGGTGGGATGGATGCGCAGTGGGAGGCGAGGTGGGCGTAGGATTCCGGGGACGTCGCTGGGACCGTCGGTGTCGTGCGTCGGATGGACGAGGACGAGATCCACAGGTAGAGCGCAGCGCAGAATGCGAGGAACAGGACGCCCTGCAGACGTTGGACCGCTCAGTATAGCGCATGTTTAGGCGAACAGGCAGGGTTCTGACCGGCTTCGACGCTCTTATCTTGGATGGACCGAGCTTCACGACGAAGAACGCTTCATCGTCAAGCACCTTTCCTTCGTCGCGTGCAGGGCCGGCCATAGCATTCGGGACGGCGCTCTCCAAATCCTTACTTTCTGTCATGAAAGAGGTCGGGATGGTTCAAGTTGAGACGAGCGGAAGCCCGTTCCGGTTCATGCTGTGGACGAGATGGGTGACGGTGTGCCTCGGTGTGCTACCATGTGACGTGCAATCATAGTCACGTAGCGTTTGTCCTCGCTCATCGGGGAACGATGCGTTCTCCTCTCAAGCTTCATCCTGCTTACAGACCTACCTATGAGTTCGCAAAACGACACAGATGTGTTGGTCGCTGTTGTTGCTAGCCTTCTCGACTCACCAACACCAAGCACCGAGATCATACTGAACGCACTGGTCGAATGTGATGGCGACGCGTCGCGCGCAGCCCACTTGATCAATTCTACAGCCGTGTCCAGGCATCCTCAGGATGAGCGAACAACGAGCACGAAGAAGAGGAAACGCAAGTCAAATGTGATGAACGACTGGTTGAGTCAGGCCAACCCTTCCCCTAGCGCTGCGACTTCATCCCCGAATACACGTTCAGCCAGCGAAGACGACCTCCCCTCTGCTTCGGCCTCAGCGAAGAAACCTCGTTCCTGCTTAGCAAGACCGACTGCTAGCTCTCCGTCTCCCACGAAGCCTGTGGCAGACCTGATGAGCGTCTTGCGCCCCCCTCCTTCATCGGAGAAGAAGGCGCCGCAGCTACCGCCCATGACCCTTACCACTCCAGAACTGGTCGCCAAGCATACTTCTTGCACGCTGCACCTCTCTATTCTTCCTCCTGAGCTCGCTTGCCACCTGTTCTACACCATGGTAGACAAGTCCGTCGGGTGGAAGCCCAATCAGTGGTGGCTGTTTGACCGCCTGGTGGAAAGCCCGCACAAAACGTCCTTCTTCGCGAGGAAGACGAACGGCATCGACGACAACGAGTCGTGGCAGGAGGCCGCCCAGCTCTGGTGAGCCTCAGCACGGCGCGGGAGTTACGTCAGCCACAAACGACCTAGCATCGCAGGTACAACGGCCGACGGACGGACCCTCCTGAGGTGTTCCCTGATGCGATGGAGGCGGCGTGCAGGATCGTGGAGGCCGTCGTAAACGAGCAGATGCGCAAACGACCGCGGCTCCCGTTCGAGTGGGGCGGAGCGAGCCCGGATGGTCCGCTATGGCGCGCCAACGTCGCCGCGTCGAACTGCTACGAAGGCGCTCAATCGAGCGTCGGGTTACACTCGGACCAGCTCACGTATCTAGGACCCTATCCGACTATCGCGTCCCTCTCGCTGGGGACGAGGCGCGTGTTCCGCTTGCGGGAGGTAATACCGACGGACGAGATCGGCACGCGCCAGGCGCGGACATTCAACATACCGTTACCGCACAACTCGGTGAGTTCTGATGCCAGTGGGCACCGATCTCCCGATTGCGAAGCTGACGGGTAAAGCCAGTTGATCATCATGCACGCCACGACGCAAGAAAAGTTCAAGCACGCTATTCCGCCTCAGACTAGCATCGACCTGTACCGCCCGTCGTTTCCCCACCCAGATCGACCCGAGGTACCCATCGAGCCCTCCAATGCTCGGATCAACATCACCTTCCGTTTCTATCGCCCGGACTTCGCGGCGCACCTCACGCCGCGCTGCAAGTGTGGGGTGCCGATGATCCTGCGGCCGGACATGAAGCACCGGATGGGTGACTGCCCGGACCGCTACTGGTGGGCGTGCTACGGTGGCTCCCAGAACGAGGGCAAGGGCTGCGGGACGTGGAAGATCATGGATGCCGTGGCGGAAGGCCGAGGACCGTTCGCCAAAGACAATCCCAATCTGCACGGCTCGGATACAAACCCGCATGCTGTGCCGGATGTCAACTAGGTTTTTGGGGCACAACTACGATCGCGGATCTAGCATTCGATGTGCTGTCGTTGGTCATCACGAACAAAGTCACCCCTTTCGAGCAAGAGTATGAGATACACCAGGTGCGAGATGCACTGGCTGACTGATGACGCCCGATCTCAATGGTTCCGCTTCCGGGCGTTTCGAAAGCGAATCAATGCCTCGCTTTACTCTGAGACTACAAATTATGTAGCATCTAGCCTGTATCGCACACGTTGCTCTAGATCTTCTTCGGTAGGTAGGTATGTTTCCGGTACGATCCGATTAGTGGCCAAACCCATGCGGCACCTGACATCGCCGACAAGGTGCTATTCAGCCTTATTCAGCGCACTGAACGCATGAAGCACCCGCGGTTCCCAAAGGCCCTTTGGACATGGTTGAACAGCATTGTGCTATAATTGTACTACATGCCCACGATGCTGCGTCGACGTCAATCGCGCTCTGAGGGTATATCTGCCTATCTGTCGCCCATGCTACGTTTCTCCCGCTCTTACACCCCTCCCTCAGGGTATACCGCAGCTTCACTGTTCACTATCGCGAAACATGCCATCAGCAGTGAAAGTAAAGTCGGTAGGATCTTTGCCCTGGGCGACGGGGACGCATGCCGCCTCCGCGCATAGCGGTGCCCAGGATCAGGGTTCCCTTGTCCCTGGGAAGAGTGGCATTCCCGTCTCCCCGGTCAGCGATCCAGCTGAGGAAGCATCTGTGGATCAGGATGAAACCTTGGGCGATGCCTTCTGCCAGACAGTCGGGCGCAGCTCCAGGTTTTTCATACCAGATGGGAACTTGCGGATAATTGTACGTCGTCGGGCTCTGTGCTGTCTGAAGTGATATACTAAACGTCATACGCGTTGTATGACCTACCGATAGGTAGCAGACACGGAATATCAGGTTCATCGCTACTTTTTCTTGCGAGATTCCGATTTCTTCAGGCGCCTCGTATGCAAACAGTGCTCGTCGCATGCCATTCCGGTTATCTGTCTGTTCGACATCAACTGCAACGAATTCGACCTTTTCTTGGATATCTTTTACCGGAGGTGACGGCGCCGTCGTGCTGTTCTATATAATGCGAAGAGTACTGATACCTGTGATCTTGCAGTGATTACATTAAGTACATGGCGGAAACCTTGGCAGACTGGACCGCCATACTCCGCCTCTCCACGACCTGGGGATTCAGGTCCATCCGTGAGCTCGCCATACGCGAGTGTTTTCCGCTTGCGCTTCCGGTGGACAGGATCGCGTTAGGGCGCCGGTACAATATCCCAGGCTGGCTTAAGGATGCCTACGTAGCCATATGTCAGCGAGACGAGCCGCTGACGCTGCAGGAGGCGGAACAGCTTGAGTTGGACGACGTGATAGCCATTTCCGAGAGACGGCAGCGTATAAGAGATGCGAGGGTGGTTGTCCCTGGAGAGACAGTGGTTTCCACAGTCGTCAGCGCATTTTCATCCCGGTTCCCCGCCGAAGAAAGCGATGTGCCCGCTAATCCTGCCCCGTTGACACCCGTTCCAAGGGAGGACACCGCGGATGATACACAGAACACAGTCACGACGAAGGGGAACTTGAAGAAACGAGGTAATCGGTAACCGAGCGAAGATTTGGCAAGAGCTGTCTGGTCTATCGTGATGTGAGTTCATGAAACTTGAGGCAATAAGCGGGTCTTCTCAAGAGTTGGTTGATCACTGACGCGGTCGCGCACAACGCCACAGATAGGTTGTATACTCACGACTCGGAATATCGAGGCTACCCGGAGGTTAATCCACTCCACGATAGCAAGGATGACGTTAACACGAATCACCGCATGTATCAAATAAATGGCTAGCAACTCTGTCGTTCGAGTTTCTAAAAACGCACGGAGCTAGCGTACAATCGTTCGATGCATGGAGCCTGTGATGGGTCCTCCGGGACCTCTGGAGCGTGAGGAGAACGTGAGAGTGGATGTGAGATTAGGTGCCCTCCCACTGGAATCGGTGGAGCTCACTCTATGCATCCAAGACTTCGGCCAACGTCCCCTCCGCAGCCCCATCCGAGCCTGAGCCGGCGTCCGAGTCCTCTTCTCCTCCATCCGAGCTTTCGTCCCATTCTTCTTCCCCATCTCCCACGTGCGACCCCCCACCCCCAAACTCCCGACAGTCGGGATCGTAGTCGCTCCCCTCTAAAATCGACACCTTCACAAGCTCGGGACGATCCGCAATCTCGCGGAGCCTCTCCACGTACTCCTCCTTCAGTCTGTTGGCTCCGACGATATCGAGCTCCATACCGGTCCTCAGAGCCAGCAGTCTCGGCAACAAAACGCGAAACTGAGGGATGGACCTATGTCCATGGAGGTTCATATACATCCGCCGCAGCGATGGCAGCAGATCAGGGATGACGGGAGTAACGTCAGGGCTGGTGCTCGAGGTGAAGCCCAACAGCAACTGGACGGCGAATTCGCAAGCAGTGATGTTCTCCAGCTCGATCGTCGTTGCCGAAGAGCACCGGGTGAGGATGAGGTTGATCATAGCCTCGACCTCGGTCATCTTGTAGTCCCAGTGCCCCTCCACAATCATCCTCACGAGGCCGATTCCCCCGAGCAGTAACCTGCGGACGACAGGGGTGAGCAGCCCTCTCGAGTCGAACAGAGAGAGATTCAGGATCAGCAGCTGAGACTCAGAAAACTCGTCGTTATCGGTGTGCACCCAGAACTCGATTTCCTTCTCGTTATATAGCCTGTAACTTATGGATCGCAGAGGGGGTCCATCGCCTTTGAAGGTGCAATGCCGGTCAAGGAAAGCCATCAGGGAGGGACCGTTGTCGAGGTCGGATTCGGAGTGGTAGAGGTCGAGGCTCACTCTAGTACAGGAAGGAACACGGATATGGTCGAGCAGATCGCAGACGTGCGAGACTGGGGCGTGCAGTGTGAGTTTTGTCAAGCGTTGCAAGACCACCACGACCGAACACCCTTCGATGGGCAACAACACCTCTTTGTGCGCTGCTATTATAAGGATATCCTGTAACAACGGCATCTTCTGAAGAGCCGTCACCAGTTGCTCAGCAGTGGGGAATGAATTCGCGCGCAGTTGCAAGAGAGATAGTTTCCTCAAGTTCTGAAAAAGGGAAGCACAACGCATCAAGTCCCAATCAAAAGATATTCCCTCCAGGCTGAGGGTGCGAAGGTGCGGCGAATCGCGGCCTAGGAAGTTGTCTGGTAATCGCCCTCCATTCTTATTCAATCCGGCATGAAGACGACACAAGGTAAGTAAGGGGGCGCGGGAAGAAAGAATTGCCTCGTGGCCCGCGACGACGAAGTAGTTATAGTCCAGCATACGCGCGCGTCCTAAATGAGAGAGCGCCAAATCTTGGGCTTCTGGATCCGTAGTCGCCAGGTACGATAACGAGCTATTCAGAAACAGCGGAAAGTTCCTCGACCTCGATAAAAAGGTCCGGGTCAACTGCAGCGAGGAACGGGGAACGTGTGTCCAGACAGAGGGCAGGTTGAGTGCGAGCTGTCGCCAGAATCGACAGACGTTGGCGAATGCGTGTGTGTACGGGAACAAGGTCACGGAGCGGGAGTCGTACTTGAAATCGTGCTCGGTACGGGAAACACAAAACACGAAGACGAACATGAGAATTTCGTTGGGCAGTCGGGAAATCGGGGCTAGCGAATTGCGCTCCTCGTGAAGTAATCTGAGCCGGTCGCGGAGATTTACCATCGCTTCGCAGCCCAGAGATGAGAGTCGTATACGATGTTCTTGTCCGGCGACATCTGCTGGTGGTGAGCATGAGATGGCATTATCGAGCTCAAGGAGTAGCGCGTCTGAGTTCGTGCCCGGTGGATACTGAGGGTCCGTTGACCGGAACAGACCCAAGATTCTTTGTGCTTGTAGACACAAGTCGTGAATCTTGCGATCGACCTGCTGTCGTTGCTCGTCGCGCTGAGTGAGTCCGCGTGAAACGCTCGAGGCGTGACGATCGGGAGACGAAGTTTCTGCGAGCCTGACAGACGATCACATGAGTCTACCAGAGGACATCAATCGATACCACGACTCACGTATTCGGAGACACGATAGGATCCATGGCCTGGCTAGTCGATCCGTGTCTGCTCCACTGGCAACGACGATAGGTCCGACAGTTCCTTCAAGGCTTCCGAGGGCAAGTATGGGGGAATGAAGCAACGAAGCAGGCTGAGACCACGATGCTTTTATCGAGCTCTAGTAGAGTCGCCTGGCTTATATACAGGTCGAAGTCCGAGTTGAAGTACCGTGTGCGATGAAAGAAAGATTCCGAAGAGCTGATTGGTTGATGCACCAGTTTCTTGCGCCGGATTTGGCTCTGCCCCTATCCGACCGATTTCGCCTTTATCCCTCAAACGGCATCCCTTTGCGCATGCTTTGCGGTTGCAGCACAGAAAGGGCCAAGGACAAAGCGTCCCTTTGACAATGACAGCTCGAGTGCGACAAAGCCTTTTTAGGATGTATATCCCCCACAAGTACAAACGTGTGTAACCGAGGCCGACAAGAAGATCCTACGGGAAAAGCAGCTCTGCCGCACGTCAGGCTCTGGCTGGCTCCCTATCGTCACGACATGGCGTTGTCGAGAAGGTTGTTTCCGACCGGCTCTTGTCCAGTACGGGGTACATTTGTCTGTGAGGCAAAAGAACCGACACCGATGGCGGATCAGCTGTTCGCCCTTGGAAAAGAGGTCGTCACGAGCGCGATCCACCGACACGCGCGAAAAGCGTTTGCGAATCCCGTCCAGCATACAGAATCCTGGGTGTTAACCACTCGGAACGTCGTGTTCCTGCATCCGGAGTACGCAAGCAACATGCCGTTTTATATACAAGGTTGAAGGTACTACATGCACGAAGACGAGCCCGTTTTTCGTTTGCCAATCACACTGGTACATCTTTGACACGGCCCGAAACCAAGAGCGTGGGCCGATCATACCGGCTCTCAGACACTGCGGGATGGTTGTCCGTTCGGCGGACGGCGTTGGGTCGGATATCTTGATGGATAAGGGAGGAGGTTCTGAGGCGAGGAGAAGCAAGGCAAAACAGGCAGAGTAAAGTTTTTCGCATTCGGGAGGATCGTCGCGGCACACGACGGCGTTGAATCTTAGAAGAAGACATGGCTCTGAGTTGGAGTGCGGACGGAGACGGGTAGGCATCAGCGTTCTGCAACCATGGGAGGTAACGACGGCTCGTGCTATCGGAACATGACGAGCGACGCAGGCCTGATACAGAGACGTCTTCCATGGAGGCGGAGCACATCGGAGACGGGCTTGCAGGCGCGCGAATGGAGCGAACGACATGCAGTATTCTTGTTCTGCAGCTGACCTTTGCGGGTGCCTTGACGTATTGTTTGTGGTTATCCCAAGTGAGACTGTAATGGGGGGGGGGGGCGGAAGCTCCAGGAGACGGGGACGTTATTCTGAGATGTAGCTGCAGATTAAAATCCGGAGAGAAAGAGAGCCGCACCGTATGCGCGGGATGGCCGCGCGCAGTCTGCGACCGCAGTGCAACTCGCAAGCTATATGTACGGCTTGCGTAATCGTCACCCCTTATCTTGTCAACGAGGATCCCTCCCACCGGGAGCCGCGCCCACTCCCGTCACTACGACGCGTAACCGTGAACGAGGAGGATTGCACGCCCTGGACGACTCTCCGTCGAGGGTATGGTCCGTCTCATGACCGAGCGAGTCGAGGCGGAGAACGTCTCGGTGGGCGTCACTTTCCAAAGCAACAAGCCAAAGATCAAGGAAAACTCAGACGTGGAACGTTAACGAGCGAACAAAGGGGATTCGAGATGATGATGCGATGTATGTGGCGCTGTAGGTTGATATTCTTGGATGGTTCGTGCTCTCACGCAGGGAAATCTTGACCACTGTTGCACATCGCCGGGCTTTCCCCTCGTCTTCAGATCGTAGAAGACACTGCGCATCGAGTGTGCCATCGACGAACACCGTTCCTCATAGGCAATACGTCACAAAACCAGAATCCGCTGTTCCGCTATTGGGACCGCGCCTGGAATAGACCTTTTTACGCCCCCAAGTCTACCTGTTGGACGGCACAGAAGCTCGGAAACTTTGTAATCTCCGCTCTCCCTGCCTCTACGGATTGAGTGCAATCAGTGCACGAGGTCCTCTGTTTAGACAGGGTGTCGTGGCACACGAGCTCAATGCGTAAGACAGAACTAGAACTGCATGCCAGCCCCCAACGAGGCGGGGTTCGAGAAGTTATCTTTTGACCTACGCGGGCAGGACGGTTGGGCTAATCTGGCTCTAGCCCATGTCGTCTAGCACCGGCGATGTGGGAGTTTCGGTAGGTTTGCGCTATTTACGTTGGCCTCGTCGACCCGGCACTGTTATCAGGTTCGAGGGTCTGGCCAAGAGGACGAATGGAAGCGCATTCGTAAGGTATCTCTCATGCAAAGCAAGAAACTGCCTGCAGGTCGCTGCGTGGATCATCACCCGATTGAAACGATTCAATTGATACGGTCTAATATCGCATTCCACAGCCATAACACGTTGCACCTAAACGACACATATACACCACCCCATACGCTACCAGGCACGGGAGACATATAAGCCAGCGGCTGGACGAGACAGGACGCCTCAGTGAAGCGATCTTCAATCTTACCTACATGGTACGGAATCTCTTCACCTCTTCCGCTTAGGCGCACCGATTCACAACAGACACTTAGCCGTTATCTGAAGCGGACATTGTGGGTAGCATCATGATCGGAATGATGTTGGCGATCTTGTCATACTATGCACCCACCTCCGTCGCAATGGTTCAAGTTCGAGCCGCCGCAAGTACCGCATATAGCAACGCGCTCTCGCGGGCCAGAGACGAACCTATCCGATTGATAGAGCGCATGTCGATGCTCGTGCTCTTCTTTTACATCGTCCGCATCCTCCTCGTCCAAGCAGCCATGATATTCCCCGCCTGGGTTGGTGCATGGGTCGTAGACCAGCGTCATCAACATATCGTCGACGTGCAGATGGTCGTATGGGGCACAGTGCGCATATCACTGCGCGTGTACGCCATCAAATATACATGGCGATTGGTCGTGCGTTGCGCCCAGATGCTCTGGGACATTCTGCTGCGTCGACTTTGGGTGATGCAGCGGAATGTCGCCGGAGCCCCCCGCGCTTCAACCCGACGGCCCCAGCGTTGATGGATCCAGCCATTAGGATCCTCGGAGTCGGGTCGATGGCTATGGTCCTTATGCCAGTGACGAGGTATCGCGAAATTTGGCCTGGTGGGCAGCCGCTTTGCGGACGTTCAGCAAGCTGAGCGTCCGCAAAGCGGCTGGTCATCACAGGCAATGTCGGACGCACCTATGTACTCGAACTCTGGCGGAGCCAGAGACCTCGGCAGACCATTTTGTACTCGTAATCCAGTAGTATGAGAGAGCGATACTCAGAGTTGCTCTTCGGTTATTAATATCGATACGATAGCGATCGTATTTGCATAGAAGGCGCGGACAGGACGACTGGTCCTTGCCCTGGTCCTCTATAGCTCTAGCACCGGGCGGTGTGGTACATGGGTTCGGTAGATTTGTACCGAACCTGCATTCATTTCCCTGGCATCGCTACCAGGATGGAAGGCCTGGGCACTATCGAGGGCGAAAGGAAGCGCATTTGCAAGGTCCCTCTTTTCGAAGAACGGAACTGCCTGCAGGACGCCGCGTGGATCACCGCCCGATTGTAACGATTCAATTGAGATGGTCCAGTTCTGTGTTCCGGACATGACACATCGCGCCTCGATGACACACGTACAGCATCCCATACGCCACCAAACATGAGAGACGTATAAGACAGCGGCTGGAGGAGGCAGGACGCCGCACTGACGAGATGTGTATTCCCGGTCGACGTCGTACCGACATGGTACGGATCCGTACCTTGTCTTCGGTTTGACGTATCGATTGACGGCAGATGCCACTCAGTTGTTAGCTGAAGTCGAAGACGGCATTGCGGTTGACATCATGATCGCACACATGTTGGGGATCTTGTACAACGCACGCATCTTCATCCCGCTGGTCGGAGCCGCCGCGACCGCCGCCTACCGCGCGCTCAGAGACGATCCTCTTAAAACGATGGCGAGCATATCGCCATTCGTGCTCTCGCACTACTTGGAACCCCTATTCGTCCAAGTCAAGACCGCCATTGTGATCTCCGTCTGGATGGTCGTAGACCAGCCTCGTCAACTAATAGCCGACGTGGAAACGGTGCTGTGGCTGATGGTGCGCGTCGTCCTGCGCGGGTACGCCATCAAATGTGCATGCAAATATGCCCTCGTCCATCTCAAGAGCGCCACCGCCATCGTCTCCGTCTGGGTGGTCGTAGACCAGCCTCGTCGACTGGTAGCCGACATGAAGATGATCCTGTGGCTGATGGTGTGCGTAGTCGTGCGCGGGTACGCCATCCAATATGCATGCAAATATGCATGTCGCTGCGTTGCGCACCTCGCCGGGCTGCTCTGGGACCGTCTGCTGCGTCGACTCGGGATGCAGCGAACTGTCCCAGGAAATCAGCCCGGCGCCGCGCTTCAACACGACGGCCGGGCCGACCGGCGCCGCTACGTATACGGCGCCGCTGGCGCCAACACCGAGGGAGCCGGCTATCGCTAGTTTTAGTCTCCTTAGTCTTGTGAATGGTCGCTTCGCCGAGGCTCAGCTGGCTGGGCGTCGACGAAGCGGTCTCGTCACAAGGGCAATGTGGGACGGAGGCCTACTCTAGCCTACATACTCGGGTTCGGCGTACGTTAACATTCCTTCCGCCTGTGCTCACCGTGATCCAGAAATAGAGAGAAAGTTATACCAAGAGTCCCCTGTCTTTTTGAGGTACCCCTGTATTCATACCGTGGTCCAGCAGCAGTAGGAGATAGTTGCTCCTGAGTTGCTACGAGGTGTTGCGGTTGCGTTTGAGAGGAAACTGATCCCGATCCCGCGTTTTTTTTTCGACGGGCGGATCTGTGACGGATTGACGAGCGATCGCGAAACGTCGGGCTGCAGTATCACTTATACGGACATGATAAATCGCGGGTTCGGACCGCCCGACCCTCTCGCGTCCACTGAAGCGAAACACGCGAAACGCTGCTACCGATGAGACAGTTTCTCAAGTGTGTACGAACGGCACGGTTCGACTGCCGGGAGGGGTGGGGGGGGGGAGGAGAGAGAGAGAAGGAACGGAAAACAACTCACGAACGGAAAGGCCGCCGCCACGCCCCGGCTGCATCCCGTTCATCAAGCGAAAGCCTGTGCGGAGAAACCACTCGAAACGTCGTGATCCTGCATCTGGAGTCGAGTCCGCGAGCCACATAATCGTTTTATATATATACATATACAAGGGTGAATGATACACACATACACGAGAGACGAGCACTTTTTATAGTCTTGTTTTTTTCTTTCTTGTTACGCGTTTGTCAACTATACTGGGTTACACGTCCTTGAACCGGAACCAAGAGGCATGGGTCGGGGTGTCTTTTTACCCCCGGAACGCGTTCTTGGCGTCGCGGAGCTTGTCCATGATCACGTCCTCTGGCGAGTCCGCCGTCACGCCCATCGCCGTCCTACGTTTACATCAGAGAGAGGAAACGGGAAGAAGTCGATAGCGATCCCGATGAGTGAGAAAAAAGATATATGAGAAAAAGCGACGCTTACAGCACGGGCTCGGTCTTCAACCGCATGAACACGTTCCACCCCTTCTCCTCCCCGATCGTCGTCTTCCCCGTCACCTCGCCCCTCTCGCTCTCCTCCACCAACCGCGCCAACCGCGCGATCTCTTCGTTCTCCGGATCGACGGACCGCGCAAAGGCGACGTTGCCCTTGGTGTACTCGTGCCCGTTGTACACCACGGTCGCGTCCGGGAGGGTGGAGGAGAGGTAGGCGAGGGCGCGGACCATCTCGGCGCCGGTGCCTTCGAAGAAGCGGCCGCAGCCGGCGAGGAAGAGCGTGTCGCCGGTGAAGACGCCGCCCGGGTGCGGGGAGGAGGGCGAGGAGGGCGAGGAGGAGGTGGAGGTGACGTGGTAGCAGATCGAGTCTTGGGTGTGGCAGGGCGTGGCGAGGCATCTGTCGGGAGCGCGTTTAGCATCGCATCGGTCCCCGCGGGGTCGGTCCGGAGAAGGTGTGTTGAGGGGAGCGAAGGGAAGGGACCGCATCGGTCAGGGCGTAGGGGGGCGCGGGGGGGGGGGGGGTCGCGAGCATAATGATATAGCGCAGGGCCAGGCGATCTAAAGATGGCCCGCTTCCGCCCCCCTGCCCCCCAACATGAAACGAACGTCCACGCCACAGCAGAGCTTTTTTTTTTACAAAGTGAAGTGCAGAACGTACTTGACGTGGATGCCGTCGGCGATCGTGAACTCGTCCTTGTCCTTGACGACGTGCGTCACCGCGGCGACCTGCTTGCTACCGCCATAGATCGGCGCGCTGGGGTACGCCTTCGACTATAGGCAGCGAGGATGGGGTGAGGAACCTCGCTTACTGGGACACCGACGTGATAGGAAGAAGGGGCACTCACGAACTCCTGGAAAAGGCAGGTCAGCGTCGTACGTCGTTCGTTCGTCGTCATCGTGCCATCGAACCAAACGGCGGTGCGGAGGTGGAACGGGAACAGAGATCGAAACAGGACCGAAGCAGAGCTTCATGTCATGGCCGGCACAGGCGCGCGCGGGACACACGGAGACGAAGGGTACGGTGGCGAGGGATAGCAGCGCATCCGAAAGATCGCAAAACGTCCACGCCCAAGGAAAGAGAGGTCTAAAGTTACCCCGGCCGCAACGAAGAACGAAAGGGCGTGCAAAAAAGAATAGATGAGATTATAGAAACACGCACTTCGTTGCCGCCGGCGTGATCGTGATGGTGATGGGTGGTGAGCACGCCGACGAGCTCGACGCCGAGCTTCTTTGCGGCTTCTTGGACCTTGGGCACGTCGTACGGGTCGACGGCGGCGGCCTTCTTGGCGGCCTCGTCGATCAGCAGGTACGCGTAGTTGTCGCTCCGGACGGGGACGGGGACGACCTTCATGGTGCGCGCGGAGGCGGAGGCGGCGAAGGCGCGGAAGAACTGGTGGTGGTGGTAAGATGGGGATGCAGTGCCGGCGATGATACGAGCAGATGCAGATGCAGATGGGCTCCGGGCGTGGCGGAAGCAGGCTGAGAGCATTGATGAGCGCCTTGGCAGCCACCGTGATGCCCTCGTCCCGCCCTTCTCGCCCCGGACTGCATCTGCTTCCCTTGTCCGCAGGGGAAATATCAGCTAATGGACCGCTGTTACCGCCCGCACAGGCTGCCACCAGCGCCTGACCGCCTCTTCGTCTCGCCCATCTTTCCCATTTCTGCCCTTCATCTTCCCCTTCGTGCTGGCCACCCAACCGCCCGATGCTCTGAGTTCTCTCGCTTTCTTCGCCCCCCTTCGCCATCTCAGCGGTCCGTGACCGCGAGTACTCTCTGCACACCCTCTCGTTTCTGTTCCTTGGAATCGGATCCATCGGGAAAAGGGCTAGCGCTGCTATGAGATTCCACCCGTCGCAACAGCGAGACCAAAAGTCTAACCATCCATGCAGCCAATTCAGCCAATTCACCGACGACCAGGATTTTCTGCAATGTTGCCAGAATCACCCCGCCGCCGGTACGCGTCTCCGTGTGGTTCTCCGCCTTCGCGTGGCACGTCGAACGCTGACGCACTCGACGGGCAGCCCCATGTAAAGGCCCTGCGTCAAGCGCTATAATATCGTCAGCATCCGCAGAGCTACAGAGGGCGACCGGCGGAACTATCCCAACGACGTCGGACGACGGCGCATTCACGAATCCGACGACACAAACCCCGCTGTCGTCGGATTCCACCGCGTCTCCCGCCACCGACAACGCCAACACCGATAGCTCAAGTCTCAGCGGAGCAGACAGCGGTCCCTCATCCAGCGCGACTGCAAACGCCTCCGCCGCCTCAAGCACAACAACAACCCCGCCATCCTCGCCCACCTCCCCCTTCCCCTCAAGCACAACAACCCCGCCATCCTCGCCCACCTCCTCCTTCCCACCCCCCGCCACCCCCTTCCCGTCCCCGTCCCTCACGTCTCCGTCCGTCCCGCACCAACAACCCACCTCCCCCACCGAAACGATCTCGCGCCTCCCCGCCTCCGCCTCCGCCTCCGCCTCCTCGAGCACCCCCCGCGGCGCCGCCGCCGCGCACCGCGCCCTGCCCCCCGGCGCCATCGCCGGCATCGTCCTCGCCCTCGCCCTCGTCCTCGCCCTCGCCCTCTCCGCGCTCTACCTCGCCCTCCGCCGCCGCCGCCAGCGCCGCGCGCCCTCGCACGAGTTCACGCAGCGCGCAGCAAAAGGAGGAGAAGCAAAAGGAAGAGAGGGAGGAAAGGAAGGAAAGGAAGGAAACGGAGGGGTGGGAGACGAGTCTGCACCCGCGCGTGAGCCGTGGACGACGTTCGGCGAGACGGCGGCCGGCGACGACGACGACGACGCGCCGCCGCCCGCGTTCGCGCCCGGCGCGTTCCGCGACCCGGTGTTCGAGAAGGTGTCCGAGTCGCGCGCGGCGCTGCATCGGCAGTACACCCGCGAGCAGGAGCAGGAGCAGGAGCGGGAGCGGGAGCGAGCGGAACGGGAGGCGGAAGAGGAGGAGGCGAGGAGGAGGAAGCAGCGGCACGAGGCGAAGAGGCGGAAGGCGAAGCGGGAGCGGGAGAGGAGGGGGGAGGAGGGGCTGTTGGTGTAGCATTTTCGCGATCTGCGGTGGTACGGTTCGACTCCTCTCCCTCGCCTCGGGAGAAACAACACTCGATGGGTTTTCTCTGTGTTCGATTCTTTCGTTTCCCGGTGGCCAAGACGAGCTGCCAACCGTTCTTTGTTTTCTTTGCTTTTTTGTTCCTTTTTGCGCGACGTCCAATCGAACGTCTCGCACGTTTTAACCTCGTGTGATTAGAAACGACGGAACGCATGTGCCACCAACGATCGTCCGTTTTTCACGTTCAACGTACATAACTTATTCCTTTCGTAACGTATGCCACGCCCGCTAGCGCCTTACTCATGGACGCGCAAGGAAAACAAGGCCGCGCTCATAATTTGTTGGTCGATCAGTCCGGCGCTGTTCGGGTGCATGCATGCCATCGTACAGAATGGAAATCAGGCCCGGTTGTCCCTCAAGTATTCCTGAACACTCCGCAACTGCGTAGCGATCTCCTCGAGCGCCATCTTTACGGCACCAGCGCGCGTGCGCACCAAGTTTCACGGAGGCCGGCCAACGTGATCAGTGTTGAGACCGTGATAACACAGTAAAGCATACTGCAATATTTATTCCTGCACCGACCGATGCCACGATGATCGTGCGGTTTGCGGTTACCTGGCCAGGCAGGAAGCTCGAGGCGCGCGTCGTGCGTGGATACCATCTGAATCGCCGCAGAGATGGAGAGGTGGGGCCGCCTGGCGGCTACATACCGCCACCATCGGAGATATATGCGGACATCCACGGTTGACGCGCAGCAATCAAACTGACGATCACGATGGGTCCGCGATTCGGGGATATTGTATGGGTGTGCCAGAGGAGTGCCATGCTATCTATGCGTGAAGGCGATGCGGGTCGAGTTGATCGATAGGAGAAAGACGGTAGAGGCGCCGTATACGCTGATGTTGAGCTCTAGGATTGCAGTGGAAGGTCGACGACGGAGAGGAGGTCCGTCAGGGAATGTCGACCAGCTGAGCCAATATGGATACAAAGGGGTGGAGGTAGCGCGCTATAAGTCCAACGAGCTTGTACACTGGCGCCCTTCAACTGACGACCCACATCTCAGCGACGACGTCCCACTGCCTGAGTACCCTCGCCTCCGCAGTGATCGTTGCAGGCGCGTCCTCGCCATCCTCGACGGTTGTATGATCGTCCACCAGGAGCACGCGCACCCCGCCAACCGTCACGAACCCCGTCCGAACCGGCAACCACGTCAGCTCGAAATCCCGCGAGACGACACTCCGAGGCGCGGGAGGCGGCGGGCCGACGGTCGCAGTCGACTCGTCCAGCGACGCCTTTTCCCGTTCAAGCGGCACCGGTTCGCGCTGCTCGCGCGGCGCCACCACCACTTTCTCTAGCACCGTCACCGAACCTCCGAGGAAAAGCGCTCCGCCCGCCCTGACGGTGGCGGAAAACGGTGGCGGAAACGCGACCCCCGCGGCGCGCTCCGTCACGCGCGGGGACGCGACCAGCAGCTTCTCGTCCAGCGCGCGCGCAAAGTCGGGCTTGGGCGCGACGACCGTCGTCGGCGTCGAGAACCCGGACGAGGGCAGGCGGGGCGTGAAGGGCTCGTGCGGGTTCGGCGGCGCGGGCCTCGGCGCGGGCGCGACGCGGGGCGGCTGGACGTGCTGCACCGCAAGGGTGAGCACCCTGCGCCGCCCGGCTGGGGGCGAAGGCGCCGATACCGAGAGCGTGAAGCCGAGGGTGACGGGCTCCTCGACGGGTGCGGGGTTCGGCGGCGGGGTGCGCACCACGAGGTCGACGTCGAAATCGGGCGGTGGAGGAGGAGCCGCCGGCGCCGGCGCTGGGGTACCCGGTACGTTTGCCCCGACGAGGCTTGGAGACTGGGGCCGCGCGCTCGGGGCTACGCTCGCCGGCCGGTTGCGGAATGGTGAGCCTGTGCGCGCAGGGACGGGTCCTAAGGGCGGCGTGGCCGGTCGCGCGCCGATGGGTAGCTGTGGAGAGCCCGATCGGATAGGCCCGCCACCAGATACGCTGGCCTTGCGCTGCAGATAGGGAGGGACCGCAGATGCGGGCGGATGAGGCGCGGTTGACTGTGCGGTAGGCGCGGGGGCAGCAGGAGGGAGGGGGATGCGACGCGAGAGGGTGGAGGTGATGAGGCGGCCTGGCTCGCCAAAGCCCGAGCGCCAGGAAATGTCCAGACGACCGAGGGGCAGGATACTCCCAGGGGCGTGCGTCACGGGAAAGTCGGGGATGGAGAGGGGAGAGAGGACGTAGAGGAACTGGCGCGTGTCCTGCGGCTGCATCAGCGACTCGGACACGACGGGCGTGGCACTACTCGAATCGTGCTGCCATCCGTCGGAAGGTTCAAATTGGATGCGTTCGAACCACATCGCGTCCTGGGTGAGGTTCTGGATGTGGACTTCGAGGAAGACCTTTTCGCGCTCGGTACGCGAGAGCAGCGCCGAGGGTGAGCGCGGGACATGCACTTTAGTCTTCACGGAAAGGGGATTCGTGACCTGAGGATAGTGTTCCATTAGCAATGAAGCCTCGTGATTACAATTGTTGATGTGCTCACCGCGAATTTGTAAAACTTGCGAAAGGTCGCGAGGTGGGGGTTCGCGGGATCGACTGAGCCGGCAGGCGCATGCCGAACGCTGGAGGGCAAGCGATACGATACCGTGCATGCGAGGACATGCTGCCCGAGCTCCTTAATCTCGTGGCTGACGACGTTTTCGGACACGCCGCCTGGTGCCAACGTAAAGTCTGGTCCTCCAATATCGGCTAATGTTGTTTTCGTCGTCGCGGTCTGCATCTCCACCTTCATGCTGACGGCCTGCACATCCACTGCAGCTTCATTGTTGATACAAAGGCAAGATGTGAATGTTTCTCCTAGTTGTATGGAGCCAAAGGCTGCGGGCAATGTGAGGAGGTTGGTGGGGTTGGACAGGTCACGGAGTGTCTTCGGATGACCGGGCAATGGCGCGCTGCCTTGCAAGGACAGTATGGATGCAGTCGAGCGAGCAGAGAAGGAGGGTGAACTGGAATAAAACGGCTCCCAAGCACCAGCCAACGCGGGTCGCTATCGAGAGCAATGAGAGGGGGGTCTTCGTCGTATGCACCATGAACGCACGGAGACCCGCATGACCTTGAGCGAGAGGAGATGATTGGGGCCTTCCATGGTCCTCTGAATATCGGAGAGGGGTTTCAAGTGCTTGTGAATTCCGTGGTAGCTAGAGTTTTGAGCCAACCTCCGTAGGCAGTCCAGAAGCTACGTAGCGCCGCGCTCGTTGCTATTATGTTGATATAATCGTAGTCAGAGGCTTGAGGGGAGCCTGACTCTTGCTTATTGGGCCAGCGAAGAGCTGATGATGAATGAAGCTGAGCACGACTATGTACATATGCCATGGGCGGTTCATCATCTTTGCTCGGTCACCATGAGCAGCCGTCTTGCCTCCTTCCGCGGCCCATCCACGCCCAACTCTTCCCCGGTTTCGAAACCCAAGCAGCCGAACTCTCCCTCATCGACGTCTCGTGGCCCCATTGAATCGCCGTATCATCGTAAACTGCGATCTGCGCTGCAAGATCTACGGGGGTGCACGAGAACATGGGATGATCTCGTCCTGCACGACGGATTGAAGGCGGCAAAGAATCTGGTGGATGCAAGAACAGAACTAGAGTATGTACTGAGCCCTTGCCGTGTCTTTGTTCATTCTTTGATTTGGGATTTTTCTGCAGTAATACCCTTGCATTCGTCCCATCGGGGAGTCAACCCCAATACCGAGTGGTCGGCCCCAAACTTGAGACCATGGAGGAAAGCATCATCCAACTAGACACCGTCATCGCCAAAATGGTATGAGGATATAACAGTCGACAGTCGTCCGCGGTGCTCCAACATCATCGCAGCGCAAACAATTCCAAAAGATGGTTGCCATCGTCGACAGTCTAGAGGGCACCTTGTTGGAGGCTCATAAGACGAAGGGATGGAACTGGTGTTCGTCGGATCCCCTTTGGGTGACTTGGCCTTTCGAGAAATTCGGTACGCTGTCGTGCCCCCTCTTCATAGAATTATCATTGAACGGTCTTCACAGTGACATCTCTGTCGCATTTACCAAAACACTACCACCGCTCTTTCGAAATGCATGTCGAACTCGTGAATTCCCTTCGAAGCCATTCTACTCCCTTTGACGTCTCTCGCGAAGTTATCGCGCGATGGGTCGCCCAACCATACCTCGAAGAGCACAGCTGGGACGCAGAATGGGAAGACCTTTGCGAGGCCGAGATTGACCGCTGGACGTAGCCCGACGGGAACAAGAAGCTTAGATCCGTATGGAACATGTTGACGGATCCACCTATCTACGAAGATCATACGGAATGAACTCGGCGATCCCCCCTCTGCCTACGCCGATGTCTCTAGCGTGTACTCGTCGCTTCTACCAGAGTACGCCATAATCAGCACCTACCGTGCTTGCCCCCCGCCCACGGACGAGAGCGAAACAGTGATGTCGCAGTTGCCTGCTCCCCATAACCTTTCGCATACCAACCAGACGGGGCACAAGCCATCGTTGATCGTGCGAACTCCTGCACTTGAAGTAGCCCTCAGCCCTTGCAGTGCGTCGAGTGCCTTGTTGTATTGTCATATGACAGCCTGAATATCGCACTTCTTCGACTGTGATGGTAGAGAGATTCTGATTTCATGCCGTACAATCTGTCGCCTCATGCTTGGTATTCTTCGCCTTCATCGAAAACAGCGTGCTTATGGATAAAGTCCAGATATCTCCCCCAGAATCCGCCGTTCCAGCTCCGGACTTTCTCCCAGTCCTCAGCGCCCCGCACTTGCCTAAGCCATATTAGCCAGCCAGCAAGTACAAGATCCGCGAAACTGATGGTATCGCCCGTGATGAATTGGCTGCCCTCGCCGTTCTTCTTTATGGCGTCTGCGAACTTCCCGAACCCGGCTTCGAGCTTTGCCCAGTGCGGGAGCAGCTGCTCACCCTGAGGGAAGTCCTCCAGTTTACGGCCAAAAAGCTTTTCCCGCGTTGCGCGGAAGTAGTCTTGACCGCGCGGGCGCAGGTGCTTGTACGTAGAGAACACGACAATGTTCGCGAGGTCACCTATGATCGCGTCCCTCGCGGTGGCGACAAAATATGACTGCAAGCCGCGCGTGGGTTTGGGGAGAACTGTAGGTCGATCGGGGTAGGTCTCGTCCAGATATTCCGCGATGGCCCACGAGTCCGAGACGACCTTCCCCGTGGATAAGTCGTGGATCACAGGCAAAGTGTATGACGAGGCTCCATTTAGCGTCACGGTCGGAGCGGCGCCGATCTTCTTGGCAGCATCCGCGATGTCGGGGAATTCGACCCATACCGTCTTGAACGGCAATCCCTTGATCCCAAGCGCATATCTACGATGCGCAATGTGAGCACGGAGACGATCTGAAGCGCAGCGTGGCAATCATCTGCGCACCGTATCCTCCAAGCATTCGGACTCCATGCGCGTTCCTCTGCCTTTGACCCTTCTGCCGCGACATCGTAGAGAACGATTGCTTTCGACATCGTTACCTCGTAAAGGGGTAAGGTTGGGCAGGCGCGGGTGATGTGACCCGAGCGATAAAACCACCCTCCCTATATATGCACGGAGGCCGTGATCCCTTTTCATATGGATCTTGCGATTGCAATCGCGACTCGCAATGCGGCATGCGGGAGTACGCGATAGCCTGCCAATGCTGATGCAAAATGATTCCGTATGGCGTGATCCATACTACTGCAGCTGAAAGCAGGCGTGTCGTAGTCGAGTGCAGCGTATACTTCGTGAAGATGTAATCATAGCAGGCTTGAAGCTTGAAGGGTACTGGCGCTCTGCGTGAAGGAACCAGTACTTGAGCAAGGTATCGAATAAATTGGCACCGTTCGAAAACGGTGACGTGGGGTGACCGGATCAACGTGGCCGGAGAAGCCGATCTAGCGACTACTTACTTCATCTCAAGACGCCATACAAGCAGAGTATGGCTAAGCATTTGGATCTTCGTATAAGTACATTAACGGGACAACCACTTCACACCTTGTAAACTTCACCCTCATCGTATACTTCATACTTGACCAAAGAATCGACGAATTTGCCCCAGAATCCAGCATCCCAACCTCGGACCTTCTCCCATTGCTCGCCGCTGGCCGTCTGCCTGATCCAGAGCAGCCAGGATGCGAGGAACAGGTCCCCAAAGCTGACGGTATCGCCCATGACGAACTGCGCGCCCTCGCCGTTCTTCTTGATCACGTCCTTGATCTTTGTGAAACCGGCCTCCGTCTTTCCCCACTGGTCGATGTACTTCTGGCCCGTTGAGATTTCCTCCAGCTTACAACCGAAAAACTTCTCGCGGGTGACGCGGAAGTAGTCTTGGCTGCGCGGGGGGAGCAGTTTGTACACATCAAACATCATGTTCGCAAGCATCTCGTCGATGGCCACCTGCATCGATGTGTAGGTAAACGCCCACTGCAGGCCGAGTGTTCCCTTGGGCAATAACGCAGGGCGATCGGGATAGGTGTTGTCAAGGTACTCGACGATAGCCCACGAATCTGAGACGACTTTGCCCGTCGAAGGATCCTGGATGACGGGTAGGGTGTAGTATGGCGAACCGTCAGGGTTGGTTTCTGTCGGTGGTGCGCCGATCTTCTTGCAGGCACCTGCGATGTCGGGGAACTCGACCCATACGGTCTTGAAGGGAAGACCCTTGAACGCAAGCGCGTATCTGTAAAGCAAACTCATCCTCAGGTATGTCGCGACAACGTTGTATCTAAGACGCCTACCTGACTTTGAACGTATTCGGGCTCCAAGCGCGCTCCTTCGCCGTCGACTTCTGGGCAAGGATGTCGTAGAAGACGATCTCGTTTGTCATCGTCCGTGCTACTGAGAGCGACTGATTTGTTGTGTAGATGTCGGGGAGGAAAGCCTGGTTGATCGATGCTCATGCGCTTGACTTGAGCCCATTATATGGGGGCCGGTTCCAGCTGCGTCCATGGGAGGATCAAATGCCGATAACTAATCACTTCACAAGAAGACATCTACAGGTCACAGGGCGCCTTCGAGGACTCATGGAGAGTCTGAGAAGCGATGCCAGCAGTGAGACTTAGAGCTGCAGGCAATGCGTTCGTAAGTGAACAAAACTCAAAATATGGCAAATTTCGAAAGCGGTCATATTACGGCCGGCGTTGAACTCACGCTTTAGCCCCATACGCACTCACTCATACCTGATCGACTGGTGCGTGCATACAATGGGCTGCAGATCTGGAGCAACGCGGAGTTCCCAGTGTCAATGTTCGGGACAACAATTGTACAGGTTAGCACTGAGAGTTGCAACGCAAGGTTTGCCCAGATACAACAGCACAGGCAACGACGAACAACGTTTTGTTACAAATCTTCGTCGTCTGATATATGGATCTCCTCCGCGTTGCCGGCCGGAGCTGAAGACGCAGCGGGCGTAGCTTCCCCTGTCTCCTTCGTCCCGGTGCTCTGTTTCGCCGCCACGAAACTCGGCGCGCCGCCTGCAACAGCAGCCTTCTCGGCCTGTGCCATCGGATCCGCCAGCGCCGCACTCTCCTCCTCCAGCTGCTTCGCCGACGCGCCGTCCCTCGCTGCCACCGTCTGCGCGGCGAGGTAGCTCGCCTCCGTGTTGAACTGCGCCTGCACGCTCCGCTTGATCCGCAACATTTCCCTGAACGTGTCCTCGCTGCCCGTGTCGATCTCGAACGCGTTCCACTCCGCCCAGAAGCCCGGGTTCGTGCGCGGATCGCAGAATTGGGAGGCGTGCGCGTAGATCGCGCGGGCTCGGTCGATCTCGCCCAGCTTGCGCTCGAGGGCGGCGAAGCGCAGGCACATCTGGGCTGTTTGCCGGGCGGGAAGAACTTCGATGGCACGCTCGTAGATGGGCCTGGTGGCAGGGAGGCCGTAATTCGAGGCGGCTTTCGCGATGTAAATTGTGAACATCTGGAGCAAACGTCTCAAGTCAGCTCTGCGACGTAGTAGTCAGGAACATGGGCCACCTCGAATTTGTCATCATCTTGCACAACCCCCGTGGCACGGTCGTACACTGCCATCGCTCGTTTCGCGAGACCGTATTCCTCCTCCAACTGAGCGTACATGAGGAAAATCGGTTTGCAGAACTTCGGCGGGCATTTGTCAAGCGCTTGCTCGAACAGATCCCTCGCTCGTTCGAGCTTGCTTCCACCCTATCAGAGAATGGCCATGCGTTTCAGTCAAGGTAAACACAAGTCAAACTTCGGCACTTACATATCGCTTGACGAATTTGCTGAGGTAGATATTCCAAATTTCGAAGCTGATCGGATAGGTGAACAGCTCCACGCCCTTCTCATACACCTTGAAGCTCTCCTCAAAGTACTTGTTCTCCTCGAGGAAGGCTGCATAGTTAACGATGATCTGCGCGTTGGCAATCCGAAGCTCAAGGATCTTCTCGTAGACGGCCTTGGCGGTGGAGACGGTGCCAATAGCCTCTTCAAGGTCGACGTAATATGACCAAAGCTTGAGTGACTTAAACAGGCGAGCCTGTACGGGAAGCGTCTGGACGGATCTCAGCACGGCGCACGTACCGAAGCGAAAATAGACATACCTGATCGTGGTAGTTGATCTTGGTGTTTTTGGGCACAGCAGCCGCCCGTTGCATCACCCGAATCGCTTCGTCGTAGTTGCTGCGATTGAACGATCGTGAGTAACAGTATGGGCCAAATGTGGACTAGTCCCTTACTCATGCCTCAGTTCCATCTCCGCCCATTCACACCAAACTTCTGCAAGGTCTTCTACGGTCTTGAAGGGGACCTTCGTGGCCTTCTCCAACACCTTGCGAGCGCTGATGATATCCGACTCAGCCTTGCCTGATACGCCACCCTCTTCGTAGAACTTGGCGAAGTTGACATAGATACGGTAGAGGTTTGGCGTGGCTTTACGGGGGTTGATGGTCTCGATAGCTTTTTTGTATGTTTCCGCAACCTGGTTCCGCAATATTAGCACCGTTGAGACAGAGTATAGGGGTAACGAAAGCCACATACCTTGTCATCGTCCTCTCCCCATAGCGCCAGCCTCTTCTCCCATTCCTGGACGTCATTCGGATTTCTCCGTAGTAGCACGTCGTTCAGCAAGAACGGCCGGCGATCCATTAGCTGCTCAAACTCCCGCATCTTCTCGTCGAGCTCCTTCTCCGTCTCCTGTGCGCTCTCCTCGTCTTCATCCTCGTCCGGCTCCGCGATGCTCTCCATCATCGCGCTGATCAGGCTCTCACTGAACTCGGCGTACGCATCGAAGATCTGCGTGAAATCGCGGATCGTGAGCACGGACGCAAGCCCAGCCTCGAACGTTGCCTTCGCGCGGTCAAATTCAGCGCGCTTGATCCAATACGTGGCGAGGCCGGTCCAGAGACGGCCGGCTTGGTCTTTGTAGACGGCAAGGCCATCTTCGTGTATGATGCGCTCGATGTTGAGCTTGCGGGAAGAGGTAGGGTCTTCGTCCTCGTCGTACGGCCGGACAGCGGTGCCGTCGGCGTTGACGGTGACGGGTGGACCGGCTATGCGGATCAATTGGCCATGCACCGATGCGGGCTCTGAAGTGGCTTGATCGACCTCCTTTTTCGCCTCTTCGACCTGGGCGGCCTGTTTCCCCGCTGCGTCGGTGTCCTCGACGTCCAAACCGACCTCTTCCGCGTACTTCTCGACTACCTCGAGCCATTCAGTCAGGAGCTGATACGGGCTTTTGCCCTCTGGACTCGTATATTGACCCTTTGCAGCTTTTCGTGCCAAACTGAGGAGCAGCTTAGCGGCCTCGAGCGGCCGCGGCGTAGGGTTGTTCTCGGCAAGAAGCAGCGCCGTGTAATACTCGGTGACGCTGGGGTCGACGGCGAGGTAGCGACGGAATATGGCGACAGTGGTAATGCCACCTTGCCGCTCGGCCCATAGAAGGTAGCGGACCCATATGCGGTGGTGGAGAGAGGGAGGAAGCGTGCGAAGGGCACGGTCGTATGTCCGACGAGCGTGTGTATGCGAAATTTGAGGAGGGCAGAATGGATGGAAGAAGATGGAGAGGTACATGAGCCATAATCGAGGGAACTGGTGGACGTGTCAGATCAAAGCACGTACGAACTACGTGAACGCGGACGTGCCTTCGGCAACCACATGAGCGCTCGCTCGAACGTCGCTATTAGGGACTTCCACTCCTCCCAGCCGACGATCCCATCCAAGCCTCCTGTCCATTTCTCCAGCTCCTCCCTCTCCTCCTCCAATGCGTCCTTCATCTCCGGGAGTTTCTTCCGACCCCCGGCCCGTTTCTTTGTCTCCAGCTTTCCCAACACGAAGTTCATCCTCGTTGCCAGATAACTTCTCCACAGCTTGAAGCTCCCCGGAAAGTACCTCAGCGCACCTTCATACAGGTAGGTCAACCGCTGGAGTGTGATCCTGGAGAGCGGCGAAGCAAGCGGGCCGAGGAGGGCTGCAACCTCGGGCGAGACATCCAGCTTTTCCTGCCCGCTCCGTTGCAGAGCACGATAGTTGTCTTTGACATTGTTGATGGCAGTCCACCAATGCCTGAAAGACTGTGGGTTGCGCAGGAGGTCCTCCTCCCGGTTGAGGTCGCCGGGGGTCAATAATTCCGAGTGTGTCGTTGGCGAGGGTACAGGAAACGTTAGCGGGAATTGTGCCGCGAGATTTTCTACCGTGACTGCGTCGTTGGAAGCCATTCTGTCGAACGAGAGGACCGAGCCCGCAATGGGCAAGCAAGGGAGGATGGCGCAAGAGCGAAGGCGCGTTTCGTGACTGCGTGCGTCAACTCGAGCCTGAACCGCGTCTTGCGCGCACAAGTGCCTCTCCTTCTTGCCCCCCACTGCACCTTCCGATATTCGATCATACCATGGTTGGTTTTCTATGCTACCGTCGCTGGATCTGTCGAGACTCACTCGTATGCACAGTCGCACGGCGTCAAACGCGCCCGCCAAAGCCCTGAGGCCGTCGCAGCCCGCAAACAGAAAGAGCAGGCGAAACTTAACGAATATATTTCTTTGACTGATACTATATTTTCCAAGGTGAGGACCGTCCCAGGCGCTCTACACTACGCAACACGTACGCGATCGCGACTGTACTCATCGTGCCCTGTTCCTATACACAGAAGAAGAGCGAAGACTGGAGCCAGGATGCTTTCCAGCTTACCACCCGCTTGCTCCAGCTCAACCCGGAGTTTTACACCATATGGAATTACAGGCGCAATATCATGACCAAGGGACTATTCCCAGCGAGGTATGATGATTCATCTCGTTAAGAGCCCCGTTCCTCTGTCTCAAAGCTTTTGATCAGTACGCCTGAGCAGATCAACGACTTACTGTCAACGGATCTTCAAATGACCACCGCAGCACTCAAGCAGCACCCGAAGGTGTACTGGATATGGAACCACCGGCGATGGTGTCTCGAAAACGTCCCCCTCGGGCCACCAGGTGATGACCATGGTTGGAGGAAGGCACATTGGGACAGGGAGCTGTTCGTTGTTGAGAAAATGCTCGACGTCGATGCTAGGAACTGTGCGTACCGACCATTCTCCCTAGCTGCTGTCCACGTTCATCATCAGCATGCACATATATCTGGCCAAGTCGACCGACGCTGACACAGTTGCTATAGTCCATGCATGGGGCTATCGTCGATACGTTCTCGCCAGCATGCCAGTTCCTCGGCACCCGCACACGGAGCTCGACTACACGACGCGCAAGATCGAGGCCAGCTTCTCCAACTTCAGCGCATGGCACCAGCGGACCAAGGTCCTCCAGACGCTGTGGGACAACGGCGAGCTTGATCCCGTCCAGAGCCGGGAAGAAGGTGAGCGCTCACAGGGCAGGTTGTGACCCCACTCCACTTTTCCTCCCCACTCGGCCGTTTCGGGCGAGTTCCAGAAATGTGCTTGTCATGCTCCGGTCTTACGCTGTGGGATCGGAGGGCCGCTGGCGACGCCGCTCAGCGCCCATCTTACCCACAGCGGTGCTGGCCGCATCTAGAAGCATCTATCTTCGAGCTTCAAACTTCGCCTTGCGAACGTAGTATCTCCGTCCACAACGACTTTCCCGTTGACGTAGCACTGACACGGTCCTTCTTGCCACCGGCACGGGCAGAGTTCGAGCTAGTCCACAACGCGCTTTACACAGACCCTGCCGATCAGAGTGCCTGGCTATACCACAGGTGGCTCATAGGAGAAGGTTCGTTGGCTTCCAAAACGCCTCCATCAAGAATCGATATGCGCATACTGATGCTGCCGCCGGGCTAGGCAAGGATAGGGCCGTGGTGGAACGCGAGATGAGCGTGATCCAGGAACTGTTGGACGAACAGCCGGATAGCAAATGTGCGCAGTCTTGCTCGCTCATTCTCTGCGAAGTGTGGCTGACAGCATGGCTTTAGGGTGCATGGAGACCCTCGTCCACTACAAGCGGATCTCGATTAGGACGCATTCAAACGAGTTGACCGCCATGGAGCGAAATAAGCTCGCCGATGAATGCGGCGAGTTACTCAAGCGTCTGATAGAGTTAGATCCCGCGCGGCGGCGGAGGTATGAGGAGATCTGTGAGTTGCTGATTCCGAAGCCATGCCGTTGTGGGTGCAGGAGCTGAATTTGGGTCCTGCGTTAATGATAGCGACGGACGTGGATAGCACGAAGCTATAGCTGCCGTTGGGGGGGGGGGGTCTGCGAGGGTGGAGAAGGAACAAGGCTGGAAGTTGGGAGACGGACCTCAAGGGAGGGGGAGCGATATGCAGATGCAATGATGAACGGGCGCCGAATGTGTGGGTGAGTTATCTCGTCCTTCAATGCGTCTCTCGGCATGGCGATGTACAATATCCAGAAATGATCCATGAGTTTTTTACATACAGATCACCATACATCAAGGACATGGACTATGGCAACATAAAGGGGCCTGCGGATCGTATAACGGCTTCACCCTGGCAGCTTCGACCGTGGGCCTGACGCGGCGCGAGGCGCTTAGCACTTGCACTCGCCGGGCTTGCACTGGCAACTGGTTCGACATGTATGAGCGAAAGGTCGACGACGCATGGGTGAAGGGGTCCTACGTGGTACCGCAGGAGCAGCTGGTGCTACCGCAGCCGTTGGCGTTGACGGGGACGTTGGTGGTCTACATATCTGCCGAGTTAGCGAGGGTCCCTTGAGACAACGAGCGACGACTGCGACTAACGGTGTACATTCTGAACAGTGTATGAAGGTGGGAGTGGATACAGGTGTGTATGTCTTCCTGGAGAGACCCAAGGCACGGCGAGAGCTGATTATATCAGATCTCCAGTGTTTGTGTGTGTTTGCACTTTGATCCCCAGCGCCACCGCAGTTCCCTATCCGGTTCGCGGCACTCGCACAGGGGGCCCGGAGTCACCCCACCGCGAGATCCGAATCTGAGACTGCTCGAAGCCGCTCAGCGCCGACCAGGCAGCGACCGCCATTGGACGGCACACCCTCTTGCGAGCAGCCGTACAGCCCTGAGGCTAGGCAGTTAACGTTGGCAAAAATAAGACGGCGCACTGGCAGAACCCAGGAGGCTAGTTACAGCCAAGGCGGATGCACATGGACAGGCCGCAGCGGCTTCTTGTGAGAGAGATCTCGACAGCATGCGCATGCAGGTTAAGCGCGTGTCAAGGACTCAAAGATCCTGCTTCAATGTGGACTACGGACCCGGTGTACCCATAGAGTCGGTGAGCTAAGGTTAAGGCCCCCGTATTTGCCTCTCCACTTTGCCATCCGCGATGTTCATGATCATGACGAGTGGCAGCCATTGTTCCAGGTTTCGCACTTGAACAGGATATCGGCTGATAGGATTGAGCCTTGCTTCTTGTTCGTGGAAGCCAGGAACGTGGAGAACGTAGGGGATCTTTCCGCGGAGGATGCATTGCTGGTGGTACGTCCGGACCTGCTCCTCTTAGCACACGCAACCATGCGCAACGACATCGCTGCGTGCATCAACAGTATGCAGAAACGACTTGCCGTCGCTATTCCGCCACGTCTTTCAGTATTCACTTCGGCTCGGAGTAGTGCAATCGACCGGAGGGCGGACGCGCGATGCGCTGGACTTGAATAAACTGGTATTTGTCGTTCGGGATTATCAGTTATCAGGCGAAAAGGGTAGGCAATAATCGTAATTCCCTATGCATCCGTCATGCTGAATCAGACCATATTTAGGGTCAGATACGACATACGAGGGCGATATCACAAAGCGGCATGACTGAGAACCAATGCCGGAAATAATGGCGAAGTGCCCTTCTTCGAAGGCGCGGTCTCTCCATGCGTTGTGAAGAGCGATATCGACACCGCGGAGACCTTTGGCCCCTACACACTAGGAATTTTCGTCGAGAGCGTCATCAGCTACCGTACGCACCACAGGGTACGGGATCCTCAACTTCTGACCCCGTGTCGCTTCTCTCCAGCGTCCCCTCCGACCGCATGTGGTGCATTGAGGGGACACAAGCGCGCGAGTGCTCTCGTCTTTCGGCGGCCGCACCGTCCAGCCGTCATCGTCCTTCGCAGCCGCGGATTCTGCCTAACGCCTTCGACGCTGCAGTTAGGCGACTTGAATATCGAGTTGGCCGTAGCGGTGGTTGCTGACGGTCCATTGCCCCCGTTCACATGACCTCGTCAGAGCAACCACAAGCCCTTTTCTACATCATCCCCTCGTCGGTCTCAGTCGAGCTTTCGCAGAAGTATCATGCTACGTGGATGGCCCGTCCTTCCTGCGGACTTCGGATGTCGCTGCCATTCGAAAATTGTGGCAAGGCTTGCATTTGAATTGAGGTGCCGTCGTGATTATCATATCTATCGTCCGCGGAAGCTCGAATCCTGCAAACCTTGAGAGACGAGAGGGAACTGATCATGTCCACGAGTGTTACATTGTACTGATTTCGTTAGAATATTGGGTTGCTTAGAGCAGCTGCAAGCATCCCGGAGGCGATAGCGTGTGAACTCCGTCCAATTAGGGAGCTCCAAATAATGAACGATTTCAATGCTACGTCGAACTCGCTGACAAGGGTAAAGTGCGAGTACTGATCAGGGACACGGAAAGGATGAGCGCTGAGCACCATCGCGGCACTGGAGCCAGTCTGCAGTTCACACGTCCATGACCGGGACGGTACCCATAGCCCTCGTGTTATATAGGAGACGGGCGGCCTGGCCTCATTCCCGGCTGCGCCCTCGAACTACATACTGTATGCTGCTGCAGACGTGCCGTGATGGTCGATGGGCTATCCCCTACATTGTGCAGGCTTTTGTTCGTCTTGTACTCGCCCCCAATCGACTTACATACAGCGCTTGTTCAGAACACTGGAGCCGATAGAGGTCTCGCTACGACAAGTTGACAAACGACGACTGGAGTACTCCAGGAGCTCGCAAAGATCTACCCCTTGAAGGTCATCATCTCGTCGTTGCAGACGAGCTAGGCATTCCCGAGAGCGGCAAAGGTGAGCGCGCAGCTCCTCATTTTCAATCCCGGGGCTATTCGGCCGTTGCATGGTCTGTTCCGATCTTCTGGGCCCTCCGCACGCGTACGATGGCGCTCTCGTGCTCGGGTCACTTCAGTGCCCTTTTCCGTCGTTCTCCGCTTCTAGAAATACGTATTTTTATGTTCGTGTCTGGATGATGAGCGCGGCCGTTCACCGCCGCATTTCAAACAGCTCTTGACGTCGTGCTATGTTGCCCTTCTTGCCGCATACGCAGTGTTCTCGAACCTCGAACCCGGTGCACAACGCCCTATACCCAGATGCGGCCGACTAAAGCCACGACCGTGTTCCGCGGGTCGGTCATCCGGGCAAGGTGCGTATTTGTCTGCATCATCGAGGGTTGAAGTTCACGTGCTGATGGCTTGGCGGTTTAGAACGTCGATATGGAAGTCCAGGAGACAATGGTCGCCGGCGGTGCATGCTGGTGGCTCGATGACTCAGGTGCGCGATACACGTTCACGATCATGGCTTCTTGGGGCAATCGCTTAATGCAGATTCTAGGCTACAATCACCGCGAGCGCGTCGTCTACAGTATCTTGTGCCTCGCGTCATACATCGTCCAAGAATGACATAACTCCGGGGGATACCGAGGTGATTCAAAGAGTGTGACGTCTACCGTGTGAGGCGAGTCACCGTCTGCTGCGCCGGAAGGGTTGATAGCTGAAATCGGGGCGCGTAGCATCGGGCCTGACAGCATCAGGTATCGGGAACCCAAGAATCCCGCTGTAGTTCAACAGCTTGGGCTTGCTCGTGTGAGGGTGGTTCTCAAAGGGCGCGGCGACGAGACTGGTAGGTTGCCAATCCTTTCGTCGGTCTTTCGGGGACAAAGACGTACACAATTCGAAACTCATTCGTGGCATATAGGTTGTTATACATCAACGAGGCACGATACGTCAACGATATCGGCTACGCGGAGATGGTCTCTCAGCAGCGAGGCCTTCAGCACGTGCATGCGCCAGGCTTGCACGCGCAGCTATCCGGGAGTGTCGTCAGTCGACAACGTACAAGGCACACGCCATATCTGACTTACGGCGAGCAGCACTGGCAGCTAGCCTCGTTGCAGCACTTGCAGCCGTTGGCGGCACAGCCCTCGGCGGTGTCGACGGGGACGGTGGTGGTCTGTAACGATGGTAAGTAGAAAGGTCGTGACTCTAGGTGGGAGGCAGGACTGACGGTGAACATTCTGTGTTTGTAGATGGTGATGGATGTAGGTGAGTGAGTTGCTGAGGAACAGAGATCGCGGGCATGCGCTTACTTATACCCTTTGCTAGTGTTTGGCACTGTCTGCTATTTGATATCCGCGCCACCGCCGTTGTCTCGACACGTCCGCGGCAATCCCGCATGCACTTCGCCGACTGGCACTTCACCGAAGCGTCTTTTTAGGCTTACAACGGAGCCACCCAGCAATACTTAGACCCGTCCGCTTCGCCGCGCCAGTCCGCGAGATCTGGATGTGAAAGTGCCTGATATGAGGCGTTCGCGCCCGTCCGGCCGAACGTCAGGCACGCCCAAGAGGGACTTTTTTGACCGAACTATTCCGCGTCGTAATTGATGGCGGCAGCGCATATGGATATTCGGCGTGGAGATATCCCGCAGCCTGAAAAAGATGCTGTACCTCTCGGTACAGCTTTGGTGAACATGCGGGCACAATCAGGATCCGCGGTCGGCGAATAATGAAAATCCGTTACTTGTGCTGGGTCGTCCATCAGACCATTGAATGGTCTTCGGTCCTGTTGGAAAGCAGAGAGCGAACATATCATTCCATTCAACGACATATACAAGTGGACTCGTTGGGCATCCGACTGGTGCAGGAGCATACAGCAACGGTGCGGGAGGCGCGATGGAAGGGCTACATATTGCCGCATTGAATCTCACGGCTTCGAACACGCGCCGTCCTGGCTGTCCTAGGGCGCTTATGAAGTTGCGTGTATTCCTCGAGTGAGCGATTAGGGAGCTTTGGGGTTCGCAGGGCCAGCCGGGTCGGCGGGTAGATTGCGAGGTCGGGGTAGACGTGCCTTGGATGTATGATCATTTGACGCGAACGTGTGTATTACTCTGGATTCGTCCGTTAGGGCATATGTCGCGAAGAAACGTTGAATACCCTATCCTCGCGGAGATAACGTGGATAAAGTCCGTAGCGGACGTGGTAATCGCGAACACGAGGATCTAGCGTCTTTCCAGTCAGCCTGGCTATCATGCTGTTCTGGGTCTATGGGCAACCCGAAGGAAGTTATCGCTTAGCGGATTCCTGCTCCACTCCGGCATGGCCAACGGGAAGCAGCCTTCTCCTGGGGGGTGTGGGCTACAAAGATAATTTGTCAGCGGCTTTCATCCGCATGTTTTGGCGTGAAAGGAGATTGCATGCAATCCTCTGCGGATGAAGCGCCGTATGCGCGTTAACGAAAACATAAGATAGCCTGTCATTGGACAGCAGTAGCGGGATAACGCCATGACTCCATGGTCGGCCAGGGGGTACAAAATCCGGGGTTTGAGCGTGTTGTTGTCCGACGACCAAGGAGGTGAATGTGATGCCTTTGTCCTGTGCGGCTGGACCGAGTCTTTGTCTGGCTGTGATGGATATCCTCTTGTATGTCGAAAAGTACGTACTTGCGGAGCGGATTTCCCATGACGGCGTTTGTAGGCAATCGACCGTATTGGAAAACATGGCGGCGAGAGATGGACAATCCCTCGACGACTGTCCGAGATTGAGCGCATATAGGCACATATAGATCCATGTAGACGCATATAGACGACTCCCATTTCTGGAACTCTGGCGACATAAGTGCGGTACTGATAGTCTTCAGGTTCGAGGGCAATCGCAAGCCGTTAGCATTCGTGATATGGCGCGGTCGTGGACCTGGACGCGAACCCGCCTCGCACAATGGGTGCGATGAACGAACAACAAAGGGGGATGATTGGCGCGCTATTTCTCTGATAATTCGTAGCGAACACGCCTTATCGTTCCGGGAACGTACGTCGCGGGACGATAGCGCAGGATAGCGTGCGATTGAGCGTGGGCAAGGGCCGACACGAGGCTACGGCGTGTTCAGCGCGCTGTTTGCGTCAGTCGCCTCGCCCAAAATCTCTGTGCGGCCCATCTCATCTCCATCCCCCTCGTCCTCCCCTCCTTCCCTTCACCGTTCCGCCCGCTCCCCTCTGTTCATAAATCAGGCCAGCCCATCAGATGGACCGTTCCGCGCACGACACCCTTTACAGCCGTGGCCCGTCGACTCCCGACATTGCCAGCCTCGACGGCACGGCGGCAGGCTCAGGACCGTCCGTGCAGCCTCCGCACCAGCGCCCGTCGCCGACGCTTTCCTACAGGGAACCGGCCCAGTCGACGTCGCCGAGCCACCTCGACGCCCTGTTCCACAATCTGAACCAGCCCGGCAACGGTTCGCAGTACGCACCCGCGTCGTCTGTCTCGCAGATCGTAGGGGCCGCGATTCAACAGCAGCAGCAGCAGATCCCGAACAACTCTGCGCCCACGACGCCCATGTCTGTTGCCTCGCACTCGTCCGCCCAGTCGCAGTCGCAGACGTCGGCCGACCGGCAGAGCGCGCTGCTCTCGCTACTCGGCTCCGTCGCCCCCGCGCATCCCGCAGGCCAGCCCGTTCCATTCCCGTCGCAAGTTCCAGTTCAAGGAGGGCCGCAGCAGATCCCGACGCCGCCCGGGTCGTCGCAGAGTCACGTCCAGCCGTCCTCGTCGGCGTCCAACGACCAAGGCCGCGTGCTCCTCGAGCAGCTCATGGGCACCGTCCCCGCCCCGCAGGCCTCACCCGAGCACGTTCAATACGGGCCGCATCCCCTTCCCCAGTCGCAGTCGCAGCCTCACCTCCAGTCTCCGCCTCAACCCCAGCAACAGCAGCAATTCTTCCCGTCCCAGGGCCCGGAGCCCGAGTACTTCCACGCCGGCAATAGCGAGCAGGCCTCGTACGCGCCCCCGCCGCACCCATTCGAGATGATCAACTCGCCGCACGCGCAGACTCACGGCCTCCCGCCCATCGGACCTATGCTTCCTCCGGCCCCTCAGCCCGGCCTCACGCACCAGATCGCGCACCAGGACCTCCCCCCGCCCCAGCCGTCGCCGCCGAAGTCGATGTTCGAGTTCATATCGCCGTTCGACGCGCTCGCTTCTTCTGGCAAGAAGCCCGCGGGTGGCAGCAAGCCGCTCCCCGTGCCCACTGCGAGCCAGGGGCCCGCCGCCCAAGGATCTCCTCATGGGGTGCAAGCCAACCAGGAGGAGCGTGGCCTCGCCAGCTGGGCGATGGACCCGAAGCGTAAGAGCGTCGAGAACCTGATGGAGCAGCTGACGCGCGGCGTCCCGCCCTCGTCCTCGTCCTCGCCTCAATATGACTCGTACTACAATTCGGAGGAGCTCACGCCCGTCGCGCAGCAGCCGCAGAACGTCGGCCATGGCGGCCAGGCGCCGCCCGCGCCCCTGCAGATCTTGCAGAAGGGCGTGCAGTCGCCGAGGGGCTCGCCCCCGCGTGCGCAGCAGCAGCAGGCGCCGGTTCAGTCGCAGGTGAGGCCGCTCCTGCAGCAGCAGTCGTCAGGACGCTCGGTCGAGTCCCCGCTCGGGCACGCGATCGGTGCGCCGGCCCCGCAGGGGCAATCTCAGGGTCACCGGCGCGAGAGGAGCTCGCCTGTTCCCGGCGCAAAGGGTGGCAAGGGACGCGGCAAGCAGCAGCCCCAGTCTCAGCTGCAGGGACAGCAAGGGAGGAGCTACGGCAGCCCCGAGTACGTTTCTTCAACTGCACCTTGCCCGGGTATTCGGTGCTGACTGACGATGGACGTCCAGGTCACAAGGCCAACAGATCGTGTTCGATGTGTCGCAGCCGCTGGACGAGATCCGGGCAAGTCAGGACCTCGTCAAGTCGACGGCTATCGCGCTCGTCAAGGTCGACCAGAATTTCTTGCCGGGCACGACTATCGGCGCGACGCACTGGGTCGCATACGCTATGACCAAAGGTGTGCTCCGTGGTTACTACACAGCTCACTGGCCGTCTGACATTATATGTACAGGTCGTGTTCGTGTCATCTCACGCTCAAGCGGTGACCGTACGCTGCTTCAACTCCCGCCCACCTTCCCGCCGTCCACCGTGGTCAACGACATGGCCGTTTTCGGGAACAGGCTTGCCGGCGTGACCTCGGACGGCGGATTTGTCGTCTGGGAGCTTCCTGAAGTCGTCACCGACGATGCATTGTGAGTGGCGCGTCGTCGTCCGTATTTGTTGTTTCCTTGGACTCATTGCGATTGCTTAGGGGAAGAATCCTCCTCTGCGTCTTCCCGGCTCTTGATGGCGAGGCATTGCACTCCGTCAAGTGGCACCCCAAGCAGGCGAACACGGTCGCTGTCGCGTCCGAGACGAAGATTTACTTGATCAACATCGAGGAAGCGGCGCACCTTTTCGGCGGCGACCCCGTCCCGCAGAATGAGCTACAGCGTGTCGGCGATGTCTTCTCTATCCCTTCGGTACGTCGCCTGTATTGATTCTGCATCCCGTGGCAACCGTTGACGAAGTTTTGCAGCCACTCGTGGCGTTCGATTTTGACGTGCTCAATTACGGCCTCGCAACAATCTCCGATGACTCGGTGCTCCGTTACTGGACGATCCACGATCGCGCCTCATTCTGGTCGGCCAAGATCCCGGGCGAGGACACGCCGTCCTCGCTCATACTGCACGACCACGGTGTGATCCTCGGCCGCCGGAAGGGCACTATCTATCAGCTGCTCCCGCATGTTAACAAGACGGTGCTGTCCACTATTCGGTTCGTTAATGGTGCTCGCGACGACCCGGAGATGTTCAGCCATGCGTGCTACGACTCGCGCATACAGACGCTCTGGGTCGCGAACAACCGTCGGGACAGCATGCTCGCGTGTCGGCTGGCGTTCGAGCCGCCGGCCGCGTTCGGCTCGCCTGAGGAGCAGGTCGGCAAGGCATGGGTCGACCAGCTCGTCGAGTTCGCTGGCCCGAAGCCCACAATCCACTTCGTGATCCTGACGGCGGACGCAGACCCGACGGGCGAGGAGGCGCACGCGGCGTGCGTCGCGGCCAAGGTCCCGCCTGGCGAGCTCGCGCTCGTCGCGTTCTCCGTACACTCGAGCGGTGTGGACCAGGTGCTGATCCGCAGGGAGTGGTACGATAACGCCCTCGTGTCGACGGCGAGCAAATTCCCAGAGTACACCCCTCCGCCGGCGGTGCACCCTCCCCCGTCCTACGCCCAGCCCCCTCAGCCCCCGGCGGAACCCAAGCAGCAGCCGGAGGGCAGGTCGCAGCGCTCGGCTGTGCCGGCACCCCCGCCGACGACTTCGGGTCCGTCGCCCAGGGATTATGCTCGCGAGCCGGTGCCGGCAGTGCAGCGTCCCAAGACCCCGCCTACGGACGAGCTGGACAGTGAGCTCGCGCGCGAGGAGCCGAGGCAGGCGGAGCCGAAAGGCAAGGGTAAGGGCAAGAACGTCGGGTGGAAGGAAAAGGAGAGCAGCGGCAGCGGAAACGACCACGGCAAAGACAAGGGCAAGGCAGTCGAGGGGACCGGAATCACTGAGGGCGCGCTCGGATCAGCGCTGTCGAAGGAGATCCGGAAGCTGGAGGAGAACTTGCATACCCGACTTGGTCGTCTGGTCGGGAAGGAGCTCGATAAGCAACGTAAGCGTCTTCTTCGGGGCTGAACCTTTGTCTTCCCGCGGCTTGACCAGAACCCTCACCGCGATCTCTCTCAGATCAACGTATGGAGGAAGTGCGCGCGAGCGAGCAGGCTGCCGATTTCCAACGGCAGGAGAAGATACTCAAGCTCATCTCGACGGAGCTGACGAAGAACACGACACGCGTCGTCGAGGTGGCCGTCAAAAGCGAGGTGCAGAACTCGGTCCTGCCCAGCCTGGAGAATATCACCCGGACAGAGATCAAGTCCGCGCTCGACGGTCATGTCACCAAGTCTCTCACGGACGCCATCAAGCAGGTAAGCTGTGCCGTCTAATGAAACTTTATCTTATCGGCAATGTATGCGATGGAATGTGCTCATGCGTTTTTGCCTTTCGTCTTTCCAGAGCCTGCCCGCCGAGGTCGAGAGACTGCTCCTTCGATCTGATGTATCGAACCAGATTGCGCGCAACTTTGCGTCCAACATCACTCCGGCGATCGAGCGGCATGTCAAGGACACGGTGACGAAGACGCTCATCCCTGCGTACACGCAACAGTTCTCCCAGTTGCATCAGGACCTGACACGGGAGATGCACGCCGAGATGCTCAGCCTCAAGAAGGATGTACTGGCCTGGCAGACCGATGCGTTCCGTGCGCAAGATGTGAGTAGGAATGCTCGACGTGGGCGAGGCCGATTATAACATCTATTCTAGACTCTTGTTCGCGACTTGGAGCAATCCGTTCGCTCGCTCAACGATCAAGTCAAGTATCTGAGCCTGAACCAAGGCAACAAGGGCTCTCCATCGTTGTCCGGCAACTTCAACTCACCGCATACGCGACCAATGCCGATATCCAATCCGCCTGTGTCGAGCTACCCGTCGTCGACGACCCATGGCCCGTACATACAGCAGCAGCCCAATTTGCAGCAGCAGCCGTGGTTCTCCCAGCCCATTGCGGCTCCCCAGGCCTCGCACCCCGCCATCCCTCCTCCGGCGGTAGCAACCGCCCCGCAACAAGTACCACGGCCCGTGCAAAATGACGAGTGGGACGACACCTACCTTACCGTTCTGGGCACGCAAGATCCCCAGCAGCTGCGCGAGCTCCTAGCGCGGTCCAACCCGGAGGTCGTCATGCCCCTCACCGGCAACGGTCCCCTCTCCCAGGCCGTGATCCTCACGCTTGTGCACCGGCTCTCCGCCACCATCGCCGAGACCTCCCCGGCGGACGAGTCATTCAAGGTTACGCTGTGGTGGCTGTTGCGCGCAGCGAACACCCTGAACCCATCTCACCACATGATCTCACCCTATGTTTCGCGAGTGCTCCCCAACGTTCAGCAGATGCTGAACACCACAAAGCAGAGGCTGTCCATCCTCCCGGGAGGCTCTCCCGTTCTCAACGACACCGTACGCACCATTTCGGACGTGCAAGAGGCGCTCGGTCGCTCCCGCTAGACGGTCTGAGTCATGACCAGCTAACCTCCTTGTACGTCTGCCGACCCATATGCTTGACGTCTGCGACGGACGCGCCGGAGACGCTCGGTCGACTCGCCGCCAGCCGGTTTGAGCCTGAGCGCTGTTGCGCGCCTGCATATGCATGTCGGCCATCCATCGCCGACGTCCAAGAGACGCCGAGATGGCAGAAGGGGCCTGGGTGTCGCAAGACGACGATGCCACCAATCGCTCGATGCTGTAACGATCCGCTTGATTCAAAACGCTGTTTGTCTTTTCTGGAATGTCTTCAATGCTCGCCTCGTCTCTATCCACTTGCAATTCGTCATGATACTGATGTCTGTTTACGAAATTTACCGATGTTATACACTGTACCTCTTACCGAACAGAAACCAAAAGTGAAAGCAATACAGAACTAATTTTCCCCCTTCTTTGCCACATCCTGGCTTCTCTATCGTCCCTGCTGAGGGCGAATCCCGGATTCGCGGGCCCGACCGACGTCGACAATTCTGCAAGGCACGCGCAACACTTCACGTGCACGATCGCCACTCATCCTGGTCCACTCCGGGTCTCGTACCGAACCAATCACTATGCAAGATACAGTCTCAACTAATGTCTCAGCCCAGTTCGCGACATAATGTGGCTTGAACATGTTTTCGCCAGTGCAATTTAACTCGCGTGAATTCGGGTACTCGACATGACGGTCTCCGGGATGAAGTCAGCCTTGCTCCGATGAGAGGCGAGTTCACGGCCCAACACCAAAATATGTATCTATACCCCTGCATTGCCCTGCGCAGTCGATCTGTGAATGATCTGTGAATGTTTGGGCTGCGCGTCCTTATCTAGGTGCCTCTTTCGCGAACCTGGGAGCATGTAGCAGCTGCGCTTCGCCACTGCCAACTCACAGCGTCGACTTCGCGACGGTTGTTATAGGCACGAGCGTATAGCTCTACACAGCTCGGTACGTCTAGTTTGTTGCCTTTCGGCAGCAAGCATTACTACTACGTATAAGCACTCGCTGGTGCATATCCCCCCGAGTCGATGTGCTTTACATGTCCCAGCGCTATGTCTCCGAGTCGCGAAGTTTCTTGGATGTCTCCTCTCGATGTTGACCATACATCAATCGCCTCAAGCACCAATGATACAGACGATGGTCTGATTGGCCCTGGGCGCTCTCTCGATGCTCTCTTGACGTTTTGCGGCGCTTATCTCGACAAGGTCATGGTCAACATTGCCGTTCAGCTCGGACATGGACCAGATGCGACCATATCCCAAGCTTTGCGGAGCGCCGCCGACATACCTACGCTTCCCACTAGAACGTTGCGATGCCAGCATGAGGAAGATGTCAGCGAGACATTCCGGGGAATCAAGCGACATTCGAGTTTGCCAGGACTCTTCCGACATCTCTTCACATCTCGCTCTCTGTGGTGCACGTATTGTCGGGACCCGGCTTTCGAGGTGCTGTCGGAAAACAAGCGCATACGCAAAGCATGTCTGAAACTTGTCCGGTGGTTGAAGTGAGCCCCCTCGTTCTCCGACGAACAATCACTCAGATTTTTTTTGCATTCAGCGTATCCAACACGAGTTCGAGAGCAGTGTCCTTGCAATATATCACCGCCTTTTGCTCCCTCCATCGGGTTTTTGTTCCTGTGTTCATTTCTTTGGATGTCGAACCCTCGTTGCTGCGGCTCCTGCGAAGTCTAGATTTCGCCGACAGGCATTCGAGAGCAATGCTCCTTGCTCCATCGCGTCGAGCTCTCATCTCTGTAGTAGAATCAAGGGGATTCAGCCAAATTAACGAGCTGGATGCTTTACGTTCAGCGCTATGGGACTCGGGCCGAACACTGTACGCATCAAGAACAGATACCCGCTTTGCGGCATTGACCAAACGCATGGACAAGCAATTCAAGGTGGTGCTTGGTCTTATCAAGTTAGTGAAATCATCGTCTTTATCGGTTCCCGACGCTTATGAGCATGAATACATCTCAGGTATACGGACATCCAACTGGTGGCCATCAGTTGCCTGAGCTCTTACCTGGTAGAATGGAGTGCTCTCTGGGCTCTATCACTGTCAACAGTCAGCTTCACGCCCGACATTGTTGCGTATTTATGGTCTTGTCTGTCCACATGCACAGATCCGATTCTCTACACTGTTCTGTCGGACCTGCTCATTATAGTGTACACCAAGGGCGCCATGATTGCTAACGCAAGCAATTGCGTGAACCTATGGTTATCAGTATTGGAACTGAGGTCGGTTTTTTCGATGGTCTGGATAGAATGATCCTTACATGACTTTAGGAGCCACTCTCCCGAGATGATGACTCATAATCGCTCAATCATCGACATTCTCGGCGCGGTTCTGGAAGAGCAACATGGTCGCCTCTTGGGAAATGCCTCCCTGGATGCTTCAATGCACATTTGGAGCAGCAAACTAGATGCTCGTCAGTTGAAATGCTTGTGCACCGCAGAAGATCCGATGTCGCGCCTGTTTCGATCATGGAAACACCCACTCTCTGATTCTCGCCTCACGATGCTGACCGAGTGGTCAATGGGTCCGATGGATCTGCAACGCCGGCGTTACAGAAGCATAAAGCGCGCACCTTCTGCAGCGGTGCTTGACAGGCTCGCATTTGCGATAGTATGCGTCCTGAAAGAGTGAGCCACTTCCAGCCTTCACTTCACCTGCGATAGGATACTGACTATGAATTGCGAAATAGAATGCCACTAGATGTCAGCACAATGCACAACATCGAGTTCATTGCCCCATGGTGGGACGAGCACAGTCGAGCATATTTACACCAACATGCTATAACAAACTCGCTTTATATTCCCTCGTCATATCGAGAATGGCTTACCATGCGCTGTGAAGATGATCCTATCGGTCTTGCGTGCACCGGAATAGTAGTGGGCATATCTGGCAGTCCCTTCAGGACATCTCCCCAGGTTTGCTGAACATGTCGAGTCTTTCCCCATGTTGCGAGCTGATGTACTTCCGAAAGGTCTTTGACGATCATTACCAAGATCCGTTCCCCGCCTTGCGACTGTATCGTAAGGACGAGCATTACGCACGACTCATGGCGCCTCTTCGTGGACTCCAGAATCTCCGATGGGTATCACGCCATCGATTGTCAGAAGGATATATTCCAATCATGCCATTGATGGCCATAGAAGGCTCGGTATCATATATTGGTCGCATTCGGAGCTTGGAGGAAGAAAGTTACGATGGAAAGCTGTTTCTACTCACCAAAGACTTCCAATATTTCAGCGGCGCTTCCACACGCGATGTTGTGGATGACGAACAATTGCATATCTTGTGTGCTGTCAAACATGAGGTCCATGTCTATTGGTTGACACGGTGAGGAAGACCTTTCATTTCTGCTAATGAGCTCCACTGACTGGTTTGTAGCCATAAACTCGTGCATGCAGTTGACAGCTTTTCATACCCACACAATCAAAAAACGGATTGGGACTGTCTCTTCGACTGCATGTGCTTGTTTGAGTGGGAAAATTCCCATGCGGAAGTGTCAGTGTAACCCGCTATCATCAACGTGGGGGTATAGCGCGCACTGATGCGCGCAGGTTCCGACTCCCAGGTTTTCAACCCACCACGATCACGAATTGCCATTGGGCCCGCCCACGATACAGAAATTGTGGGGATCTATGCTTTTACAAGAACGGTGATGGACAGCAGGTTTAAGGAGATACGCTGCACCCCTTGGTAGGTGCATGTGTTCATTGTGAACACAATCATCGAGATGCTGTCTGCTACTTTACCCTTATAACTCAAGGTTTCAGAGATGATGGATGGAAACTGTCCTTGTTCAGCTGAACTCTGGACATTACTTGTTTCTTACGCAGACGACCGTCCATGTTGTTCGTGTTTGTACCTCTCCTACAGATTTTCGTGCGTGTGTCTCATCCATTTTTCTCCCTTGACCTTCGTTCCATGTCCCACTCGGGGCCCTTATTGTATTCCTGTGTAAGACTGTGCTGTGCCTGTTGACACCATCGCTCCCTAATGGACTGATGTCCTGCCCTGACCCCTACATCATCTACTCTTTGAACTATTTTCACTCATTTAAGCTTCCTTCCTCCCTGTGCATGGATTTGGAGTCTAGCTGGCCAAATTTTCAGTTTGCGTACGGCCAAGTTCAATGCACAAGGCTGTCCATGGGCTTCTGATGTGTATTTGCACAATAACATCAGGAAAAGCCCCCTCTGGTAATTTTCTACATATCTACATATATGGTTCATGATATGACTATATTCTGTCTAAAATGTCACAAAAAAGCCAAGAAATCCCATAAAACTGTCAAATCATGACAGATGACAGACAATTTATAGGACTGACTTATAGGTATGAGGGGTAGTAAAACTATTGACATAGAATGTGGTTGCAGTGTCAATAACATGAGGAACTAGTCCATGTCCAAGGGGCTTAGAAACCAAATGTAGATATAAGTGTTTGAGTTGGGAATTGATACTTTACTGCTGACACCTCACTTTTGCATGGCCCCTTCTGTGATATCATATCATTCCATATAGTCCCAGCTTATATACACATCCTGCATGTACACTTG